GATTATCACAATATTTTATTCCCCCATACTATAACCTGCCTGAAACAAAACAAAGTGTGTTAGACTCAAACTGAACCTGTATTTTTTGTTTGCACATCCTGCATGTGGTACACGTGCTGGCCCTAGATGATTGAGTATGTTTCCATTTGTGGTAAATGGGCCAAGACACTAACCATCCTACACATCTACATCCTACATCCATCCTACAGCAAAAAGTACTTTTCTTTAATGCATAAACAGAATGTTCTGTTACATCCAGCACTTTTTCTTCGTGCAGAACCATTACTAAGCTCCAGTTCTTTTTTTTAAGTTTATGAATGAATGCTCTCAGTAACGTGTTATCACCCCAGCAGACTTGTAGCATAACCTCTCTTGTGAAGCTGCTGCTGCGACACTTTCGATTAGTATTGCAAGTGTTTTTGTGTTCAAGGCCCTCTGTGAGGCAATTGTTTTCATCTTTCATTCTATTCTACACTGCTTTAGGCTCAAATCACAGTCATGGTGATATTTTAACAGACACAAAGTTTGTGCACTTTAGTAGCGCACGATTTTAGGCTCTTTTAAAACAAACCATGGTGCAACTACGCATTGTAATTTACTTTTCATAGGCCACTATTGGCACCTGCACCACAAGACACTTCAGTTAGAGTGTACTATAATAGGGGTTGTGCTCGGAACAGCCACAGCACCATTGTCCAGGAAGTGAACCCAAAACAGGGTCAAGACACTTCAGGCGCTGCAATCTGTAGTTTGCAATGTTTTGCCATTTTAAGAGTTGCACGCGGCTCCACCAAAATGGTGAGGAGGTAAAATGCCCGCTTGCCACTCGAAAGGCCCCGGTTTAAATCGCAGCTGTAGATGCAGAGTTTTTATCATTAAGCGTGGCTTGTCGTAGCTGTATTTTTCTTCTTCATAAAACTAGTTTTCATTGGTATGTGCTGCTACAAAACGTAACTTTAAATGTGAAGTAAAATTGAATAAATTTTACAGTGAGCAAAATTACTTGCACTGCCATTGCACGGCATTCAACAAAAATTTAAAGTATGGGTTCCTTTATATATTTCTTGTCATCAACCTGACTACGCCCACTGCAGGTCAAAGGCCTCTCCTATGTTCTACCAATCAACCCAGTCCTCTGCTTTCTGCCGCCACGGTATACCTGCAAACTTTTTAATCTCATCTGCCCACCTAATTTCTGTCGGGTGAATGTGCTAAGCACATCTACAGGCACCAACACTGTCATGACGTCAGGCTACATATTAAATTATACCAACTTCATGCACCAGTATCAAGCACCAAAACAATCAAAATGGCCACTTCTGCTTCACTAATGAAGCCAGGAAACACGGAGGAAAGAAATGTAGGAGAGGCCCTGACGTCACTCGTTGTGAAACTGCGATGAAGCCAGAAGTCGGCCATATTGACTGGGCCAATTCTCCTCTCTTGTTTACATCCTAATGTAAAGCAGAAGGCACGACTCTCTCTCCAGCTCGGAAAACACATGAGCTGCGCAGCGCGCGTGTCGTGACGATCCGAAACTAATGGAATGGGGCTCAACACTCTGGGCCAACGCGACACCTTCGGCGAAATCATTTCGTCCGAGTATTAACAGTGAGTAACAGCTCATCGACAACGAAGCAAGTGCAAGAGAATGTGTGCTAGATGCACCGACAACAGCGAGTATTTTCACGTCATTAATTCAGCAACTGTAAAGACAACACGATCCGTCGTGCGCCTTCTACGGTTGCACTCCACCACGCGGCCGACACAGCGTCCGGCCACTGTGTCCGTGTTCTGCGTAAAACTCACCAGCGTCAGCAATCTGCGACCGTGGTGACTTTGAGCATGATGCAAGTGACACTTGAACGCGGTTGCTGTTACATTGAGATTACATGCAATGCTGGGAGAGAGTATACGAAGCGGAAGCGAAACAGAAAAGGTGTTTTATTGCGCACATGCAAGTTGTTACTGTAAATACACAACACGAAACTACGTATGTGCACATGGTCCTCATTGCATCTTACTGGGCTCAACAGCGTCTTTGTTGTCACAAGCAGGAGTACTGCCCAACCGTCACTGACCTGCAAGGCGTTCGTCATCGTTCCGCTTCGTCATTGTGCCCAATGCAATTTCGCTGAACACTAATTGCTTCATCCATGTCATCTGCCGCACGACACATGGATATGCAATCGTTCTATGCACCGTTAAAAACCTGTGATGGACATAAGGATTTGTAAACGTTACCAAGAGTACAGTAACTGCCAGGAGAACACTGCGTAACCAATAAAGCGGTGCAGAGCACGGATATTGTCCGCCATGACTCAGCACGAGACCTGCGGAGGCACACATGCTGCCGCCAGTCGTGGCCGCTCACTGCTAAACCAGCTCCACTGCGCAACACGTAACCATATCAATGCTGCCATTGTGCCCAGTGAATATGGCCACCATGATGTCATTTCCTTTACACTTTTCACGTAGCACGCCAGCTGGGCATGCCCTCTCCTACATTTCCTTCCTCCGTGCCAGGAAGGGACCGGCTGAGGAAATGTCACGATATCTTGTGCGAGTGCATCATGAGGAGCTTGTACAGTGTTGGAACAGACACTAGCTTTTAAAAACATGTAGCAATTACTCTTTCTGGCAAGGTTCTGTTTGGCATTGCATAAATTGTTGCCAGACATGAGGGGTCACTGTTGTCAGACTGCTGCCACATTTGGCGGAGAAATTCGCTTTTGTAGTTGTGGCTTCTCCGTGAGGGTTTGGTGTCGTACGCCATGCATTTCGCGAGTGCATGAGCGACGCTGGCTGTTTTAATTAACGGAATGAACCGCGCCTTGTAGACGTTGGGATGCGTTCGCTTGCTGTGTGTGCTGCTGTGCAATTAAGAGGCTGTTTTAATTAACGAAATGAACCGTGCCTTGCAGAAGTCTGGGCACATTCTCTTGCTGTGTGCACAGCTGTGCAAATAAACGATCGCGTCTCAGTATTAGGGACGATGAGAAAAACTGAATAGAGTCGCAGCAGGTGCTGCGCTGCCCCCCCCCCCCCTTTAGCTAAGAGAATCGTAGAGCCCCGTTGTGCGCACGGTCGACGTGGCACGATCACCCGTGAAAAGAAAAAAAAGAGGATGGGCAGTGTACCACCTGCTGCGACTCTATTCAGTTTTCCCCGTCGTCCCTAATACTGAGACGCGATCTTTTAATTGCACAGCTGCGCACACAGCAAGAGAACGCGCCCCAACTTCTGCAAGGCGCGGTTTATTCCAATAATCAAAATGGCCAGTGCCGCTCATGCACTCTCTAACAAGTTCATTGCACACGTACTCGCGAAATGCACGGCAGACGACGCGTCGTTGCTTCCCTAACTCAGAAACACGATCTCTTAATTGCACAGTAGCACACACAGCAAGAGAATGTATCACAACGTTTGCAAGGCGCAGTTCATTTCGTTAATTAAAACGGCCAGCATCCCTTGCCGAACCCGGCAAGGGACGCTCACGCACTCGCAAAATGCATCGCAGATGACACCACACCCTCACAGAGAAGTCACAACTAAAGGGGCAAATTTCTCTATCAAATTTGGCAGCAGTCTGGCAACTGACTTATGCAACGCCAAACAGAACCTTGCCCTTTCCGCACGCAAGTTTCTGTCCTGAATGGGCAGTATGTTCCATACTTAAAAGGGGTGTAGACATGAAAATTTCCGGTTGTCTTTTTGCATGAAATGAAAGGTTGAGCCTTAAAGAACCATAAAATGTACTGGTAAGTGCGAGTGCACCGTGAAAGAGTAGGCAAGGTTCTGTTTGACATTGCATATGTCAGTTGCCAGACTTAGGGGTGATTGTTGCCAGACTGCCCTTACGTGTGTGCTGAACAGTAGGTGCGCAGCATAATTTAACTAGGTAGCAACTTAGCAAAATGAATTTACAGTCGAACTCTGCTACAACGAATGCCGCTTCAAGGAAATTTCCGCTACAACAAAAAATTCACGATTCCCCATCAACAGTCCATAACAGTCAATGCATAAATATTGTCGCCACAACGAGCACTTTTTTTTTTATCGTCCCGCTTCAACAATTTTACGGTGCAATGCCAGGCTCAGACAATTATTTTTATGCAGTAAAGCCAATCTTTAACATTTAAATGCACTGAAAATGCATCAAAGAAGTCTAAAACATGCGCTGGCACCACCAGAAACCACCGCTGTTCAGCAAGCATAGGCGCCGCCATTGCTCGATAGCAATGGCAATGAGACTGCTCTGCTTTTGCCACTGGCTTTCTTTGAGCTGCAGACGAACCAAAGCTGAGCTCAGTCGCTCACTTGATGGTTTCTGTCACGCAGCTGCTAGGTGCAACTGCGGAACGATGCCTTTTCCGATTCCGATGCTTATTATTATGTTCGCGCTTGGCCAGTAGTAACTAATCAGAGCAGCTGTTCGTCTGCATTATCAACAAAATCACCTAACCACGAGTGATGAATGATAAAAATAGCATAGAATAATGTAAATGTTGCCACTCTACGATACCCTGCCTCTCTCTCGGCGTTGTCGGATACTTTTGACGGCGGATAGCTGCTGGTGTTAACATGTTAATGCAACTGTTTGCTTCGTTCACGAAGGCCGTTTTAGTGATTGTTTCAGCGTGCTTCTCACCATGGCTTCGCTATGCATGGGTGACAATCACGTCACGACGTTGCTAGAAAAGAATAGGAAGCAGCGGACATTTTTTTTATTTTTCGAGAATAAAACGTTCCTTTGTGTTGCGAGCTCAGATCAGCCATATTTTTTTATTTCACTACAACGAAATTTTCACTTCAACGAAAGTTTTTCCGCGCCCCGTTAGTTTCTTTGTAGCGGGTTTCGACCGTATTAGTGAACATCTGCAGCAAACAAGCACTTTTTCAATCGCCTGCTACTGGATGCCTGGTTGTCAAGTATACCAAGATGCTCACATAGTATACCAAGATGCTCAGAAGGCTACAATGGGCGTGTGAAATGATAATGTATGTGCAACAAGTTTTACTGTCATCAAATTCATTACATCATCATCTGGTTTGTCTCTTCAAATCCTACAGCAAACAACACAGGTCACGCTCGTTGAAATAATTTATTTTGGTAAGTATGTTCGATAGAAATGGTCAAACAAGCAGCAGCAACATTTGCACCCCGTCCTCCTCATTTTTTTACCCAAACCAGCTGGGAACGAAGGCTTTATGGACTGCACTTTTTCTAACCAAATGCCACACCGCGCTTCTAACAAAACGTCGAGAAAACCTGCCTAGTTAAGCATCCCAGAAACACACTCATAGTAGCTATCTTTAACTCTTTCACCAAGAAATTCAGCATGAACAAAAAAAAGGCATCCATATCTCAGCCAGCAAACACATTTGTTCACAAAACGAACATGTCTGCTCTTTAAAAAAAAGTAACAGTTTACTGCAAGCATGCAGCCATGCGCAATATTAAAACAAAACAATGACACCAGTGCAACTACAGACTGGGGGCAAGTCATAGGGAGGGAAACAAAATCTTGATCGTGCAAAAATAAAAGGATAAACAAAGTTTGCATTAACTAGCATCATCAATGTAGCAATTAATGCTGTAATTGAGTGCACTACGACCGCAACCCCTCCGTAACACTGCAGTTTGTGACACAGTCGATAATTCGCAACAGTCATTTCAAAATGTCTAGAGTGGCAGACGCAGCCAACCATTTTGAATATTAGTACACGCGTGATCAACTTCCCGTGAAAGCCGGTCATCTATGCATTAGAAACATTGCACTACAGCATTAAGCATTCAACAATGTGCATGATATGTCAAGAGGCTATGGAGGTTAAAGTACACATGAAAATCTAGCCATTATCACAATAGGTTTACACTACAGACTAAATCCCCAAAAAACGGGGATGTAGTCTGTGCGAGATATATACTAGTTTTTGACATTACTACCGTTCTGTGTGGTACATAATAACTGTTCCAATTCAAATATTGCATCCCAAAATCTCAAAAAAGCAGCACTGGTAATAGCACAAAAACAAGTGACATTGGATGCATGCCGGTCAGTTTTACTAGCTTTATACAGACTGTTATCAGTGCATAGAACTGTTGTGACCACCCTACGCATTCATTCACAGCAGTTTCTTCTATGGAACTAGGTTTCTGCTAAAAAATAGAGCGCAGGTCGCCCATGGGCCAAAAAAATATACAGTTATGATAAGCTCAACACAGTTCTACAGAGTCCAATGATTAAAGAGGTTCAAGCAAACATTGCACCTAAAATAACAGCCGCTAGGGCAAAAAAAAGAGGGGCGTACAGCTTCAGTTTGTACAAAGAACAGCCTATTACAATCACATGCAGTGACTAAATTATGTACAATATATTACAATTATAAAAGAAAAAAAAAAGCTAAGAAAAAGGGGATATTTGCCTCTGCACTTGCAGCCAGCCACATAACAGGGCGCCACTCACAATTAATCTTTGGACGTGTAAACCGGAGTGAAGAGTGAGATGAGTGTCGCACAAGTTGTGCCAAGAGAAGCAGCATAACTGCACACAGCTACTTGGTTTACCCCCTCCTGTTCTTCGGTTCGATCACAGTGGTTAGTAACTGGTGTTGGTGGTAATGCGTGGCCATTTTTGTGATCACACACGACACAAAAACCACATCAAGTCACGTCACGATGTCAATGCTTGGCACTTGTGTTGTGAGAAGCTTTTTTTTTTCTTTTCACAGCTGTTCTTTCACTGTCCAAGTGTGGGCAGCAGTGAGAATAAGTTGTTGCTGTTGTTGCGGGGACAAGGGTCGAGCAACTGTTCTTGTCCCAGTGCTGTGATGGGGTTTGTCTGAAATTATTAAGAGACTCATCAGTGCTTGAAGAATGGCACAGAGCAACAAGTCGCTGAATGCTCACAAATTTCAGCCCATAGCATATTTTGGTAATGAGTCACTCGCGTGTAACCAAGAAACCAACATTAATTTTCTTGCAAGCACATATATATAGTATTATAGTATATACCATATAGTACTCAAGGACAACATTCTGGGGCAATGAACAAAGTGCATTATCCTATTTCCCCAATCAATGGGCGTCAAATTAACATGCTTCTACTGTAAATGCTAAGTGGGTTTTTGGAATTAACGTGGCACAGGGCTTCAAGACTTAAACTTCACAACTGCAATATCTAACCACACTTGGGGAGCAGCACTTTGAAATTGCCACAAAAATGAGTTACAAAGCAGACACAAAGGTATTGGGCACCATTTGCACAACTGCACAGCCTGAACTGCAAAAATCACATGCCTCTATTAGGCAAATGCGATGATACTTACAGTGTGGTGCAATATCAGGTCTTTGAGCCGGGGGAAGACAAGTTGATTAGAGCCAAAGAACTGGCAGTGTCCAAGTGAGGCATCAATGAGGTAGTGCTTGCAGCGGTCTCCAGCCCAGTAAGATATGACATAGCCCTTGATGCGCTCATGAACTCTTACGAGAAACGCGCCTGCTGCTGCCCCGCCATGCCTCTGCAAGAGCTGCTCAGACTCTGGCCGCCCAATGAAACCTGCATTTAGGTCAAAAGCAGAGTTCCAGTGGTTGAACAGTGTGGCTACGCTATGACACCACTTGTTGTGCTTGTTTATCTCTATAAACAACAATTTTTCAGGCACACTTCGCTCATCGGGGTGAGAATTTTCACCAATGTGTTGTATCAGTCCAATGTGCAGAAGCAAACTGCTCCAGTTTTCTATACAGTTTTATCGCACATGAAAAGCAAATGAAGTTTACACTCCATTAATTCAGAAGTGTTATTTGTCAGCTTAAGTTATGTCATGACCCTTGTGGACATACTTTACTCCCACTCAAAGGTGCATGAAAGAGAAAACTGATAATTGATATGTAGCGTTTAACGTGCCAAAATCACCATATGATTATGAGAGACGCCGTAGTGGAGGGCTCCGGAAATTTCGACCACCTGGGGTTCTTTAACGTGCACACAAATCTGAGAACACGGGCCTACAGCATTTTCGCATCTATTGAAAATGCAGCCGCTGCAGCCGGGATTCGATCCCGCAACTTACGGGTCCAGCCGAGTACTTTAGCCACTAGACTACCTTAGGGGGGGGGTCTAGTGGCTACTATTCACTTGATAGTAACAAGATTCTGAAAAAAAAAAAAAACATACAAGTTTCCTTGGTAAGGAAGTCAAAGTAGCTATGGGAGACAACTTTTTCTTTCATGAACCAATCTTCATGGTGTGAGCTCACACAAATCAACAACACCCTTAGACCATCATGAGCAGTCTATTTCTACTGTAGGACAAAAGCCTCTCAACCACCTGCGATACACCTGTCTTGCACCAGCTGATTCTATCGCAATACCTCAAATTTTTTCGTTTCCTTGAACCAACTAATCCTCTACTCTTTCCGACTTCCCTTCTCATGGCAACTATTCTGTAACGATAACGGATTATTGATTCACTACCTTTGTTTTTGCTTGCCTCAATGTAAACTATAATATTGGGTGCCTTTCTTTGCTGTCTAATCACCACTGTTGTCTTCTTGTTGCTACATGTAACATTTTTTATTGCATCACCCATTCTGCAGCCGTAATACTATCCTAAAATTGAGATACGCTTAAGAAAAAAAAAGATGCAACAAAGATTAATCGATAGCCAATCACATCAGTGCTCCAAAAAGAACCAGCTTCCAGCAGTACATTTAAATGCAGAAACATATACGGATAGCGTTTTCTTGCTACTACACCATAAAATCCCGAGCAAGCACCCCCTCCCTTTTTCTGGAGATTTGAAATATCTACCCATGCCCGATTAAGCACTCCCTCCTACACCCTCCCATCACTTTTTCACTGCTTCAATCCCTATTTTTACATTCGCATCACAAGGACTAATAATCACAGTGAATGCATGCCTGTTCAATAAGAGATTTAAATGGAAGTCGGAGTGGCTCTTTTGCCACCCATGAATTTTGACTCATGACCAAGCAAGGGCCCTCCTCTAAATATTGTCGAATGATCTTTCACCATAAAAAAAGGGGGGGTTGCATGCTCTGTATTTTATGGTAGTACTACACACAAGCATATTTTACATAAAAAATTGTAAAAACTGATAAATAGACCACACCATAAGGCAGAAGTGGCACCACAAGGTACAGGTCTATTGAATTCAAGAAACGGGCAAGGCACCACATACAAAAAGGTGCAGCCGGTACCGACACTTGGTGCAGCAGTTCACGGAATCCATTTTGGGGTGCAAATACAACATCAGCAGTGCCACGAGGAGATGTGTGTCGAAAAACTGAAGTTATATATCTTTCTTTTTTATCTGCTTTCACAAATATAGCTTCTCTACTTTCTGAACAAAAAAAAAACTGATAATTGTAATTAAGCTCGAAGTAGGTTAAAATAGCCTTTGAAGAACCCAAGGTGGCCACTAAAAACTAAGAGTTCATTGTCTATAGAGTCCCCTGGAAATTGTCACCTGGCTTCTTGCTACTGCGTTTTGCATGAGGAGTTCATTAAGACTCAATCTAACCATAATTGCCAAGCTCTCATGATAAAAAAAAGCTATCTGAAAGGGGCCCTGTAACTCTTTTCCAAGTACCCACAGAATGAATTCACTGGAAAAGCTTATTGCCTCACGAATTCAACGCCGCAAAAAATTTTAAGAATCTGTCCAGTGCGAGTGGGGTTACAAAGATTTCTTGCATCCTGCAATTGCATTCTCTCGTCCTGACGAAAGCGCTGGAAGCTAAGCAGGGAGGGAAGGCAAAGCCACAGAAAAACCCCACACGCGCCTTGTGGCCTTGAGCACTTTTTTTTTCTTTCTTCGAATGCGCCGCATTTTCGGTGTGATGACGCGTGCACGTATGGACAAGTCGCGGCCACCCGCAGTGATCTCTGCAGTGAGCGAGCACGCCAAGTTCAAATCGGCCGATGGCTGATAGATGGGTAATTTACGGGCGATTTTCGGGCATATTCTGCCATTTGTCGAGAGAAGAGAAAGCAATTTTCAGCTGACTGATATTTTATTGTAGATTCCAGACCACGTGCTGTGCTATATTATTTGGCTCGCGTGTTGTTCGGAGCCTCTACTACCGATCTGCAGCGTTTTCTGACCATGCTCAAAAAGTGTTGGAGGGCCCCTTTAAAAAACTTATCTTCCCCGCATAGATATGCTTTCACTTGTACCTTTAAAATATGTTTTTCTCAAGACCCAGTTTTGGGCAACTTCGTGAATTTTGAAATCAAGATTTTGGTACTTTTGATTTTGCCCACATAGTCCTTAACATGTGAAGGATGCAAGTACTTCCTTTATAACTTATATTGCCTGTATAATTATTACAAACTTAAAGTAGGCAATTAGTATGGGCTGAGGATTCTAAGACCTTTCACATTACAGTTTTACTTGTCCATTAAAATGTATTATACGCACTTTCTTGACACTTACTTGCGTTCTACAGTTAAAGACACACTAAAACACTTTAAAAAAACGAGGTTATTGTGTCATGATACGTAATTTCATAAGGTGAACCTGAAAATCAAGTTGAAAATTTGCAGAAACCATTGCAAATAACTTAATTTTGCCTAAAACAAGCACCAGGCGCGCGACCGCCATCGCGAGTCTTGCCGCTGCAGTGATTGATTGAAGCTCCATGACATTACAGTCAGGAAGGTGAGGACAGCTGACTGCGCTCGCCGGCAGACAATGCCGTGTTTGTCTGTTTACCGGGCTGCAGAAATTAGCCGCCTTTTCCTTTTCTAGCCACTACCGCCATCACCACCGCCACTATCCCCTGAAATAAGGCAGTTGCTGTAAGTATGGCGAACTGTGAAAGTCGCACCGAATTCGCTCTATATCCGTACATGTTCGAGCTGGTCGCCACTTCAAGGGGACGACTGAAGCGGCAGAAGAAAGCGAGTCCCAACCAGCCACCTTCACCTGCCTCAGAAACATAGACTGGCACGTATAGAATGCATGTCAGTGCTTAATTTCACTGTTGTAAACTGTTACAAATGATACGCTTATCAGAGGATATCAAATTTGATAAGAAACAGCAGCATCGGCACTCACTTTTAGCCGCGTATTGGCACAGTCCGCGCTAGGAGCGGGCAGCGTGCAGAAACATCAGCTGTTCGTGGATTTCAAATCTCAGAATGCAGCGTTGTTAATGCAGTCAGTATCGTACTTCGCAGCGGGCAAGGCACACGTGATAAATCAGTATGCTACCCCGAGAAAAAAAAAAAGGAGCCAGACGAGTGCCGCTCTTGCCGCAGCGGTGACATGTGCTCTGAACAGCACTGAAAATTGTGCAATAATAGTTTGACTCATATATTGCAATTATGTTTTTTTATAATACTGTCGCTATTCTCAATTCTGCCCTGTACGATATTCATGATGTGTTAAAATGCCAACGGTGTATTAGCTGTGCTAAAACCATGCGACTGTCGTGCAGAATAGTGATTTCAAATATGCGTACTGATATCTTTGTACACATGTTTTTGTCATACGTACTCATGCATGCACTGCGTGCAAATGGGGAAAAGAGGAGGTGTGCTTCTTCTGCCTCGAAATTTGGAAGATTCGCGACCGCCACAGTGCGCTTCATCTCGTAGGTTTGAAGTATTTTCTTTTAACTGCAACGTCCCATATTGCAGCTGTTTTCTGATCTCGAGAAAACTTGTGAAAAGCGACCTCATCGAGACCGTAAGTGCTGTGGCAGCCATATGCTGCGCAGTAACTCGGCATCGCAAGTCTTCTCAACCTTGCAAAAACACAACTAGTGAATATCGGATGGTAAAAATTTCTAATCAGGTAAACAGTGCAATGGCAAGAAATCCCTACAAACTGGCAGAACTGATGCTTTGCCAGGCAGCAGACAGTGCAATGGCAAGAAATCCCTATGAACTGGCAGAACTGGTGATTCGCCAGGCAGCAGATTTCAGCAGAAACAAGGCACAACCGCGAAGTCAACAAGCTGAGCTGACTGAGCGATGCAGGCGGCCCGGCGCATAGTTGCCTCCTGGGCGGCGGCTCGACCCTGAAGGTGACGTCACCTCCCCTTGTGTCTATCTCTCCCGTGCTCCACCACTGCACGCGTGCTGGGGGGGGGGGGGGGGGTGTCCTTTGGTTGAAGTTTGCTCGCTCATAGCGCCATTGTTTAATCAAACCTCTAGAAGAAAAAAAAAAAACCTCCGCAGACATGTTGTAAGAGGTCGTGAATACCGACTTCGCAATAAATTCGCGAATTCAAGACCTCTTCAGTGTCCCTTTAATGTAGAGAAATGTGAGCCATTAAAGGCTCAGAACCATAAAATTGTTCGGACAGAAAAAGTTTGTCCAAAAAGAGTTATACCTAACACATTGTGATGGCACAAAACAAAACCTAATTAGTACATATTTGAAACAGCATAAAAGTCTCTATGTATAGCAAAAATTTTATTGCCCTAGGCTACAGATAAACACAACTTTTTCTCTAAATCGACTGTCTACCGTCCTTCTGTTTTTCTGTTCTGTGTGGCAATAAAAAGCGTATCATCTAAAGTGTCCAACCTTGTAGCAGTTTCTCTGGAAGGTGTGTAGACATTTTTAAAACAGAATTTTTCTATCTGCGTTCGGTCTCCTTCCATCAATGGGATGAATGCCCACTACACTGATCAGTTGAGGCGATTATGGTTGTACTGCAGGTGAAAGTCAGAAACTGAAACCACATGTGGTTTTTGCAGGCTCCATGAAGTTTTGTTTAATAATAAAACAAATACCTTAGTGGTCATTTAAACCATGCAGACATCTTTTGTTGTTATTATTATGGGCGGTGGCAGATGCAATGCTCACGTTTCTTTATCGTTTTATGGTGGCATGCAGGCAAGGGAACACACCGCTAGCAGCACCACCAGGCGCCTCTTTCAACGCGTGAGCGAAAAAGCAAAAATCACTCTCTGGCACAATCTAAAGCTGCCTCAAGCGCATAAAATAAAATTTCAAGTTATAGACGTTTGCTTTTAAGCAAAATGAGTCTACCTGAGGGGATTTCTTGTCATGCCAGTAGATCGAGCTATGGTTCTGTTAAGTGATGCTAGTGGTCATTCTTGGTAGACTTTCATCATCCAAATAAAGTTATAATTTATTTTTTATGAAACAAAGGCAGGTAATTGCCACCAATGTGATGAACAGCCTTCTCATTTTCACCACAATCACAAAAACTTTTCCTAATGATAGAGATGAGCAGTGGGAAATCGTGTTGCTTAGCTCAGACCCAGAGGAACAGCTCTAGGCAATTCACCGGGCCGAGGACGCCACCAGGGGTCAAAGGCATAGGCATGGTCTGACAGATAGGCATGGGCTCCGCACCACTGAGGCTACCGGATTTTTCCAATACAGTTTTTTCCTTCTCCTCCAAGAGGTAGACAGTCCCTTTACATGTCAATCGAATGTTGAGGTGCAGAGCTTTCATCTGCAATAGGTGACCAGTAAAACAGCGAGGATTGTGGGATGCACCGTCTGCTACCGGCTTCCGGTTCGAGAAGGGTAGACGACGGTGAACCGCTTCGCTGCAAGCCTCAAATTATTCGGGATTCACACACGCGGTCGCCCGTTAATCTTCGTCCTGATAAACCATGGTCGGTAATTTAGCTGTTGGCTGCTTTAACTTGAGCGTGAAAAGCAGACGCATGTATTCGCTGCCATGAAACGAAGAAAGAAAATTGAGGTGCGCCGCGGATGTGAAGAGAGCCACAGCGACAGGTAGCCTTTGAGTACGGAACGTTGAAGCCAGAGTGTGCGAAAACCATTTTATCACTGATACATGTGTATTCCACACTATAAAAGCTTACGGATGAATTTGCTGCAAATAATATATTGAGAAATAAATTGTCGCACAGGTGCGCCTAGCAAAAATATTATGGGAACGCGCGGGTGAAATCTACCTGCCATATGAGATGAGCGTTGGCCATTGCACTCATACATATGACAAAAAAAGGCAAAATCTTTGCTCAAGAGTAAGTTTACACGAAGCACTGGACGAGTGCATTTGTGTTTATCTTGGTCAAAGTGTGCACCAGGACGGCACTCAAAGGAAGAAGTGCGTTACAAGTGCAGGGTTTAGATTATTTGGCGCCGTCTATCTCTGACTGTATTGTCTATGTGCCGCCGTGCCACGCAACTTGATCAAGATCAGCGTTAAATAAGCATCTGGCTTCGACTAAGAAACACATCTTATAGAGTGCAGAAGGCGACAAAAAAATATATCTCAATGAGCTCAGTAAGTGCTGCGCTTCATGCCGATCTACCGACGATGTCGGCCAAAGCAGCGATCCCGAAATGAACTCTTAGCACACTGCTACAGTCATGGCAATCCCCCCAGATCTTTAAAAAGGTGATTTTATCTGCAGTAATGAATCATACAATGAAAACTGTTTTCTGTATGGACTGATCTGCTATCCAAACTGACAGTACCTATCCCCCCCCCCCCCCTCCCCGAGCAGCATAAAAACATTGCTGATCATTTTAGTGCGATAAAAAGTTTCCTTACAGTTCATGGCTTTCGTAGCTTGTCATCGTCAAAGTCATGGTTAGCAAAAAGTGCACCTCTCCGTGCACTGACATCGCACGGAGAGGTGTTTTTTTTATCAACGGAGCAGTACAAAAATGTGCGCGTGCCACTGCTAACCTGCGTGGCGCGTCGAACTGGAAGCCGTCACATCCCACAGTTCCCTGCAATTGCCCATATTACCGGTCACCTATTGGGCTAGCCAGACATAGCACATGCAAGCAAGTGGTCGCGATTATTATGCCTCCGAAGATTTTCTGCCGATTTGTCAGCACGCAGGAACTCCACAATAGTGTTGGCTGAATCCAAAAGTGAGGACGAAGAACTCGCCGTAGTGCCTCAAATTGGGAACCAAATGGTCTGCAAAGATGACAACCACAAACCTAGGTAAGCAGCTGGGCCCAGAGTTGCCACTGGTGGCTATTTTTCACCAAATTGGCAAATTTGAGAGGCTCATTGGTGATCTAAAATTTGGAATGGTGAATGTTTGGCCATTTTCAGCTTACGTCTTTGCTGAATCATGTATGCTATGCTCGGTGTCTTCCTAACAAATGAGAAACATTTTTTTCTATTTTTCTTTTTTTTAGACTCAAAAGTAAAAGTCACTTTTTGCGCACTTCAGTACGTCAGTCCTGTTTCTTAATTCATGCAGATTATTGAGGTACTCGTGCGTGCTCCAGCAACCTACCAGCAAAGTGTAAGGCAGCGGATTGTTTCACGTGCCACGAGGCTGCGGTATTAAACTAAGTTCTTTAAGGCGCTTTAAGCTTCTCTAAAGTTTGGCTTCTGAAGTGGCTAGATGATAATTAAGCCGCATCTTCCGACCGTAGCTCCTAATTTTCTGAATCGCTTGTCAACTTCATGACTGCTACAGTACCATCCAATTCACTACGCAGAGTTTATTTTGTTACTAATCCATTTTTTGATCACATTAAGAAGTCAGCTTCTCTGAGCAGCCTTCAGCAACTTCAGTGAGGCTAATGAGTAGCGTAAGCTTGGCCACACAGAAAGCTTGGTACGCCCATTATGAAGGTTACACAGCACTTTTGAAGAAGTTATTTTCGTTTTTCCGGTGTTCAGCGGATCATAAAAGGATTATCATGAGCGTTCTATTCATAACGGGTGTAGCCTTTGCGCTACCAAATGCATCTCACGGCTAGTCGGAGAACGAGGCGCACCAAGCACTCCCATAGTAGAACGGGAGATGCGACTGGCAATGAAAAATTCCAATATAATTTAGGGGTTATCAATAGTACTGTATTGCATGGGGAGACACATAATTTGCAAATTTTTTACTAGGCATGGCAAACACATCTAGAGTGGCGACTTCTAAGAGATATTTCAAGAAAAATGGCGACTTTCGGATACTTCCTGCTCGTTGTTTGGGGACTTTTACTTGAAAGACAATGGCAGCTTTGGTTGGGTCTGTTATTTTGCCTAAGAGTTCAAGCGCCTTTTTCGGCCATCCAGATACATGTTTGAGACGCGCTTTAGGTGCTTCAAGTCATGTCCTTTTTTTTCAATGGAGCAGGGAGGATGCTCTCAAACCACAGCTGACAGAGTGTGCCCGATTGCTCTCAGTTACTTGGGTATGCAGAATAGCATGCACACAATCCCCGACACCTTTGATGTCTCTGGGTCATCTGTGTCATTGTGTTTGAAAAGGGTTCTTGACTTTCTATTCAGCATAATGAGAGGAAGTCACTGCTTGGGAAAATTTCTATCGGGACACCGTCAATATGTACGGCTACCGGCTGTTGTCTGCAGGTCTACTGTCTGCCAGGTGCACAAGGGGAACAGTGTGCGAGGCTGCACCTAAATGCTGCACTCTCGTGCTGAAAGGTGCAAGGGTTTACAGCACCTGATCAACACCCTGCATAATTGAGGACAGTAGTGCAGGGGGCGCCGCTGCACCTTAGAAAATTAAACAGCAAGGTGCAGAAGGTGCCGAGAACTTAGGCTGCATCGAATAGAACTTATATCTTAATAGTATATCGGTGCAGTGAGCTGCAAACAATTAGAATGTTAATAGAAGCAAATACCCATGAGATGTGAATTGCACAGCGCAAACATTTTACAACACATGTCCTTTCTATCTTATACATATTAGCACAGTTCTTTCACTACTTCCATAAATAGGAGTAAATTCAGCACTGTTTATAATAAGGTGCTTCATAACTTAGTAATTCATGAACTAGGTTCTCATACGAGTTTAGAAAGTGGTTGTAGCAGACAAAGAAGATGTGATTTCAAATGCACCTACCATGGAACCAGGCAGCAAGGTTGTTACCATTGTGGTCCGTCACAGCACCACGTGGGTACTCCTCCTTTAGGAACCACTGTATTATGTCCGCTCGACTGAACAGCTCAGCATCCTTGCTCCTAAGCAAACAATCGCCAGCGAGTTAACAAATATACACCAGACATAATTAATATTGCATTGAGTATGAGCCAAGAGAGGAGAAGAGGAGGAAGACGTGAACTGGTGCAGATACCGATGCCATTATTACCCAATCATCTGCCTCGCCCTGCTAATAAACACCCTTCGACTTTAACCGTAACAGTTTTGTGGTGGAGGTGCGGGGTAGCGACTTGCTGATCATTCTTCAGAACTGCTTTTCTGAGGATTGCTTTTTTCAGACTGCTGCTCTTCGCTTAAAACTGTGATAGTGCCGTACGTGATTTAGTCCAACTCGGCAAGCTTCATATCCCGCGGAAGAACAGCAGGCACCGAAGAACAATTGAAAACCCATAAGCTTGAGGCGCCATTCACAACTCTCACGAGAGAATGAGGCACAAGTACATTTTTCTTCACGCAACCCGTCGCAAGTGGTTGAATTTGCGCGTCAAACGGTGAAAGGTCGGCAACAGCAAGATTAACAAGGCACTCTCCGCTGACACCACAAAACGTCACACCACCATTCCACGGGAACATAACCTTCCGAACAAGCCTTTCCTTGAATGTGGCACTCATGACGGAAACCATAGCACCAGTATCCACTAACGCAGTTGCAGGCACACTATCAATTAATACACACACTTTGTTTTGCGACATCATAATAGGAAGAGGACCAGTTTGCAGTGACGAGACCAGCCAGCGACCTTACCTCCATCGGCTGTGCCGGCTAGTTTCTCAATGGAGGTGGTGGTGTAGAACGTCATTATGGTGATGTTGAATGGCTTAAGCGACTGGTTGGTGGCGTCAGGCTGCGGTCTGATGCTGGCGAGTCACTCCTCCTGTTGGAGTGGCGGAAGGAATTCCTGGGTGGTGAGCCTGTAGTGTTTGTTGCACAATGTTCTGCCGGCCAATGATCATCGTTAACGCTTTCAAACTTAGGCCAAGTCGGTGGTAGGCCATACCTTGTCTGGCAGTGACGGCGACAAAAACGAGAGATGTGTCCTATGGCACCGCAGCTGTAGCAAACAGGTGAAGGGCGACCGACGTTGTAGACTTCGGGATAAGCCGCCCTCCGACACTGCGAGTAGTAGACACAATCTTGCAAGTGCTGATTCATGGTCGTACCTCGATAAGCGCGTTGGTCATGCGTCAAGTCGTCAGGAAAAGAATGGTGGTGCTGTTGTAGGGTATTGGTTCGACTGTCTGCAACGCCTGGTATGGCTGACAGCGAAGAAACCACCGGTGCAGTTTTGTGAGGTTGATTAAAAACACAACCAAACTGTCTGGCCTTCACGGTGTTCACTGATTCGCTGTGTCACTCGAGTTACTCACAGACAATTTGCCTCGCAGTGGTCGCGAGGTCCAAATGGATACTGTAGCTGTCCTCAAAGCCTGCAACTGTCGCAAGATTTGCCAACCTGCCGAACTTTGGCCTGATACAGTATAGCTTTAAGGTCTCAAATGTGCGGCAATGCTTGATCCCGTCAGCTACCGAATTGAGACTTTCCTTGCCAATCAAGTAGGTACACATGTCTTCGGCAATACCTTTCAGAAGATGCCCGACTTTGTCGTCTTCAAACATACTAGGATTTGCCGTCTTACACAACTTCAGGATCGCCTCAATGTATGTGGTACAAATCTCACCTGGCACTTGAGCACGCTGAAGGAATGTCTGCTCGGCTCGCTTTCTTTTCGCAGTGGAATCCCCGAAGCACTCTGTGAGTTGGATAGCGAAGTGATCCCAGGTTGTTAACGACTCTTCGTGGTTACCACACAAGAGCAGTGTCTGTCACGAAAAGAGCAACATACCCTAGCTGAGCCGTGGCACCCCAGCCGTTGTACTTGCTCACACGTCTGTAGTGTGTCAGCCATTCTTCCACGTCCTCGCCGGGTTTCCCTGAGAAAGGCTGTGGCTCCAACTGACGCATCCAGGCACCAGGTGTCCGCGCCGGAGGTGCTGAAGATGACTGTAGGTCACCGTTGTTCGACATCGCGAGTTCTGGTAGTGTTGGAGGCAGTTGCATGAGGCGTCGGCTTCGGTGACGACTTAGCGGCAGTGTCTCTGTCATCTTGGGCGATTTTCCAGCATCTCCACCACAAAGCTGTTACGATTAAAGTCAAAGGGTGTTTATTAGCAGGGCGAGGTTGATGATTGGGTAATAATGGCGTCGGTATCTGCACCAGTTCAAGTCTTCCTCCTCTTCAATGGGTGGTAGTATGCGTCGACCATCTGACTCGTTACGCAGAAACTGTGGCGATACCATCCTCAACAGCGACATGCATAGCCATGTTTTTGCTTAGATTCATCATTCTTCGGCATGGCCCTTCCAGAGTGATCATTAGTGATTGTGGTCGTCAGCTCATGGCGGACGCCGTCATGAACTGTTTCGTCATTTCTGCCATTCAGCCCCTTATCACCCTTAGACGAATGGGCTGACAGAACGTACGAACAGAACTCTGACTTACATGTTGGCCATGTACATATCATCTGACAACAAAGACTGGGATGACATTTTCTCCTTCATTACCTTGGCGTATAACACGGCCAAACATGATACAACCAATTACAGTCCTTTTTACATCCTTTACGCACATTCACCGTAAAGCTGCATCGATACTATTCTACCATTTGACTTCCATAGGGACTACTCTGTCTCCAAGACACTCTGCCTAGCCGAAGAAGCCCGGTGTATTGCTCGTCTTCGTACTGTGGTTTCGCATTACCGATCAAAAAAAAGCTATGAGAGCTGCCATGAGTCTGTTGCATACTGCAAAAGAGACTTTGAGTGGTTGTGGAGGCCACACTGTAAATGGGGCCTACGCGAGAAGTTTTTACCCCAGTACAGTGGCCCATTCGTCATTGTTTATTGCTTGAGCGATCTGACATATGTGGTAGCAGGGCTGATATCATCTGGCCCTCGATCAAACCGGACCCAACTGGTACATGTTGCTCGCCTTAAACCGTTTCCCCTTAAACATTCGGAGCGGTTCATACTCACCCAGCGGGCTTCGTCTGGGAGTCAGGAAATGCAAGGGATATGAGCCGAGAGAGGTGAAGAGGAGGAAGACGTGAACTGGTGCAGATACCGACACCATTACCGATCATCAACCTCACCCTGCTAATAAACACCCTTCGACTTTGACCGTAACAAAATGTCATCAGCTCACTGCATTAAAATGCCTACAAATGGTGATAGTGTCATCCTCAGCAAGCACAAGTGCATTTTTCCTTAATTTTCTCTACAGCTGCTTCTCATTCTTTACTATGCCTCATTGCTTATAAGAGATCTTGAAACAGCTGTGATGATTGCATAAAACCAAGTACTAATTAATTAGAATAAGCTGTTTGAATAATTAACAAGCAATTCAAGAGCTGTGTGTAAAGTGTGTAATTTATTATAAGGTTTTAAATATGTGCATTGCAACAGAATGTAACAGTGCTACTACTCCAAGTTTTCAGCTCCTCTTGCATTTGGGGCATTACATTGCTTTGCAACATGACTTATGCAATCATTGTTATCGGAATCTCAGCATTTGTCAGAATCTTCAATCACTCCATTTTGGAATGGTCGAAGAGTGATCACCATTGGGACGCGATATCGCTTTGCAACATCACTCGTTTGATCACTGTTATCAGAATCTCAGCATTTGTCAGAATCTTCAATCACTTCTTTTTGGAGTGGTCGAAGAGTAATCACCACAAAAATATTGATTCTTTTACAAGCAATGATAATCTTAAACAGTATAGAACGTGAAACTGCATCATTAGATTAAGACCATTGACAGTCTATTTAGTATTTTGGGGTCAGTGTACCAGGTTTGAATAAGCTTAACTTCTGGCTTTCCTTCATTTCAGCACTGTCTCTTTAAGTTAATGAAAATCCCCTAAAGGCAAGCAAAAGCTAATGGCCACACTTTAAAAAATCTTTTTTTGCACTTGCAGTTTATTTTGGTCCCCAAAAAAATGCTGTTTGTGTTGCGTGCATACCCTTTGTAGCACTATGTAACCCAATGCAACTTTCCTGCCAAAAGCACTATGTCAAACTGATATACACATACCATTTGTGACGAGGAGCACAAGCAATATATAAATGACAATTACATATTGTTTAAGAAAAAAATAGACTTAACATGATGTATATTTTTCCTAAAGTGCAGTTGTAGGGAACAGACATACGTAGATCAAGTATTCTGTGGTTTTTATGAACACTACCAAGACAACTGGAACCTTGCACCTACTAACTACAGTCGAACCCCTTTATACAGTTGAACTCCTTTATAAGAGGCATGCTCCGAGCAGCAATTTTTGTCTTTCATATGAGATGTCTCTTATAAGCATGGTACTACGTATGCATTTTCCTATCAACTCGTATTTTACTGTAGGCACACTGGTATCTTTTATACCCATTGGTCTCTTATATCAGTGTCTCTTATAAAAGGGTTCGAGTCTACAAGAGACACTGACGTAAGAGACAAATGTGTACAAGAGACACCAGTGTACTTACAGTGGACTCCCAATAAACGAAACTCGCTTAAACGAAAACACCTCATTAACAGAAATTAACGGGCTCATGTGGCTGGATTTTTATGTGTTGCACAGTAAAACTCATCGGTTAATCGAAACAGTGCTTATTGGTCACCTACAGTTAAACGGCACAAACTTTAAACACAGCATAGACTCATTCAGGCCAAAGGTAGTCTCACAACCATGGCGACACCTCGAAACAAGCCAATCCAGTAGCCATTTGCACTTGTGGTGGCTGTGGGAGCCGAGTCGCTGAGTCAGTTGTGTGTTAGGCCTATTTGTGCGGTGGATCACGGTGTTATTTCAGCCAGGTGGAAAGGAAGCGGCCGCACCATGCACTCTCGCTTGAAAAAAAGCTGCGAATTCTTGAGGAGCTCGATCGAAGTGACCTGCCCAAGACGGAGGTGTCGAAAAAATATGACATCCCGAAATCTACACTATGGCGAATCTGCAGAGAGGACAGATTGAAGGCACTGTAAAGAATGGGAGCTTTACATCTAAACGGATACAGATGCAGACGATGCCTTATGAACAATAGAAAAATTTCCTTTTCTCTGGTTCAAGCGTGCACGGAGTTCCAATTTGCCCATAAGCGGACCAATTCTCGAGCAGAAAGCTCGAGAGATCGCCATGCAAATGGGTGTTGAAAACTTCGTCATAAGCGACGGATGGCTCAGCCACTTCAAAACACACCATGGCCTAGTCTTCAAAGCAATCTCAGGTGAAAGTGCTGCAGTCAACACGGGCAGTGCAAGGAAATTTTGATGAGCTTTGAGCCACAAGACGTCTTCAACGTCAACGAGATGGGTCTTTTTTATAAGGCACTTCCATCAAAGACTCTTACCTTCAAAGGCGAAGCCTGTAGTGGAGGAAAATGTAGTAAAGATCGCATCACTGTGCTGGTGGGTGAAAACATGGCAGGAGATGAGAAATTTAAGCTGTTGGCAATAGCAAAATCAAGGCAACCACGTTGTTTCAAAGGCGTTTGACACTTCTCGTTGCGTACCATGCGAACGGAAGAGGGTGGATGACCATGGCGATTTTCGAGAACTGGCTACAGGAGGAAGAGGCAAGATTTATGAGGCAGGGCAGGAAGGTTGCCTTCATCGTGGATAATTGCCCAGCCCATGGTCAGGTTGAAAGACATCAAGCCATTCTTGCCAGCCAATCTTCTTGTCAGGCAGTGATCCAGCCGATGAATCAAAGGGTTATTCAGAATATTAAAGTTTATTACTGCATACAATTGCTTTATCGAATGCTGCTTTGTGCACACAGCGGGAAATGCTACAGCATAGATTTATTGGCAGCCATCCACATTTTGGCTCATGTCTGGAAGCAGTGAAGGCAACAACAATACACAGATGCTTTCATCATGCTGGCTTTCAAGTGCAAGAAGCAGTACCTGATTAAGCAGGAAGCCCTGCTGAATCAGACATTGAGGCAGTATTCAGTGAGGTCGTGCTCTCTGCCCCTTTCACGCTGCAAGATTACGAATAAATTGATAAAAATGTTCGTACTTGTCGTGAGGAGACTGTAAAAGGAAATGATTGCCGAAGTGCAAGATGAGGATCAACGTTCCGGCGGTGAATGTGATGACAATATTGCCAGTGCACTGGTGCCACCAGACCAATCAGCTAAAGAGGCTGTTGAACTTTTGCAGCGCTATGTTGAGCATGAGGCTTGTCCAGAATTTCTGGCCAGTTTGTCAGTCAGGCATGGGTGCATACCTTGTGAAAAAACAGCTTAAGCTTGCCCAACAGACAACCCTTCACTCCTTTTTTTCTCCTACTCATCCTCATGAGTAAGATGAGGTTTGTGCAATTCGAATAAAGGTTTTGATTCACTAAATAGGTGTACTTTGCTTAAATGAAACGTATGATAAATGGAACAGTTTAATGGATCCCCTTCGAGTTCCATTTAAGAGGAGTTGACTGTACATCGAAATAGGCGTCTATAAGAAAATGTATATGTTGTACCCTTTTTTATAGCAGGCAGACAGCTCCTATTAAAGATGAGTTACTACACGCTGCATGTCTCTTATAAAGGGGTTCAACTGTACCCAAAAGCTTTTATGCTTACGTGGAACAAGTGCTCCTAGCACATTTGGTTCCATACTAGGATTCTGCATACCTGTTTATCTCTCAGTAAACGAAGCTCCGATTAAACGGAACACATTTTCTTGGTCCCTTCAGGTTCCGTTTATTGGGAGTCTATTGTACTCAGTGAGATTCCGCTGTTGCACTCACCTGGATGTGGCATGAGAAGGCATGACTGTTGTGGGGCTCCCAGTGGTAGTAGTGGTGATTGTGGTAATGCCATTCTTGATGGAGCCATTGCTAGTGCCATTCATCACAAGGTTCGGAGGAGGCGTGGCAGGGAGAGTTGGAGGCACCACTTTGGGAGGAACTGGGGGTTTTCCATTCAGGCTCATCACGGGCTCTCTCATGTCCACTGAAGCCAGCGTCTTGCCATTGCCGAGGTGCAGCGCCCTCTTGTGTTCTTCACGGGCAATACGTGCTATCTCTCGAATCTGCTTCTCCACTTCCTTTGCTTTCTTCTCTGTATGGACAGGAGAGCGTAAATTAGAGTAACCTGATTCGCAATCTCGGAACAAGCCAGCCAATCGACAGACACGCATTGTGTTGCCATTGTCAGAAACGCATGAAATTCGCGTGGCATATTTCCAAGGCACTCGATATTACATTCCAAGAAAGAAAATGAATTATAGTGTTGTTTCATATGACTTTCACTATAGAGTTAATGATCGTGCAACTAATTATGTAGTTATTCTGCCACCAGCCAGCTTCAGTACTTGAATAAAAATAATTAGGCCCGAAATGCATGCAGTTTTTTTTTTTTTTTTGGTTGTATTCGTTTCCAGCAGAAAGAAATACCTTTCACATTGTTCCTGGACCACGGCACGTTGAATGATCGTCAAACATAGTAGTGTCTCTAGTAAAATAATCATCTGGAGCCATACAGAGCACAATGAAATTAAATGACTGCTAGTTGTCTATTCAGAAAAGCAGCAGTAATGGGCACACCGAGTTTCAAGTCATTTGAAGAAACAGGCGGTGTGTGAAGCCCCTTTGAAGTTCGCGTCTGCAAATGTGGACACCGTGACTGAAAGAACTGCCATATTTGTACTGCATGAAGTGGTGCAAGGTATTATGCTATAATTAAACTGTAACACCAATACTTTCACTTTCTACAAAAATTTTTTTATAAATTGCCAATAGCATGCAGTAGACACTTCTCGCATCATAAATTGAACAGTTACACTTATTAGCATTTAAAAATATTGTGCAACTTTCGGGCGTCTTTTTTCTAGTGTAAAGGTGATGCCTTTGTTTAAGATGCTGCCTATTCCTTTTGAAACAAGTAGAAGAAACTGGTGTATAAGACGCAGTCATTTTTAACTTGGCCGTCATAATGAAATACAATTACACGTGCTTTTACCGTAATTACTCGAATCTATCGCGCACCTTTTTTCCGGTCAAGCGAGTTCAAAAATGGCATGCGCGTTAGAATCGAGTACGAACAAAAAAATTACGGTCAATCTATTGCCATCGGCAAATCCAAAATGGCCGCCCCCTACGTGCGTCGGCATGGCGCGTCGGCCATTTCCGCCTATGTGTTTCCCATGTGCGGCACTTCGTACGTGTGCTGAGGAGTTCGTCATCTAGTAGTGCATTAGAATCGACGGCGTGGAAGGGCTGACTCCCAAAACTCGAGTGCACCATGATGCCGCTTTTAAAAGAAAAGTCATCGCGTGTGCAGAAACGGACGAAAATCGGGCCGCATCGCGGTCGTTCGGAGTTCCCGAAACGTGCGTGCAGGACCGGCGGAAACAAAAGCAGAAGATTGTCGACAGCAATGCTTCACGCAAAGGCTTCTGTGGATCACAGCAGGGTTGGTTTCCGCAAATTAAAGAGCTGCTCGGCGAGTATATGCTTGAGCAGCGAGCGGCACAGCGGCCCGTGACGACAGAACTGCTCCAAGTGCGGGCTATGCAATTAGTCTTAGAAAAAGGCCTAATGCGGAGCCAGTTTAAAGTGAGCAGGTGCTGGCTAACTAACTTTATGAAGAGGAAAGGCTTTTTCCTCCAAAGGGGAACATGCATATGCGAAAAGTTTTGCGGAGGAGTACGATGAAAAGCTTCACAGTTTTCAGAGGTTCGTCCTAAACTTGGGGCGCAACAACGGCTACCTGCTTGGGCAAATCGGGAGCCGATCAGACGCCTCTTTACTTCGACATGCCTGGCACCACAACCGTCAAGAAGAAGGGGGCGAAGCAAGTTCGCATGCTGACATCGGTCCACGGTAAAACTACAGTGACGGCAATGCTCTGTTACACGTCAGATGGGCACAAGCTTCGCCCGTACCTCATATTTAAATGGAAGACGCTCCCGAAAGGAGTCGTTTTTTTGAGTGGTGTGATCGTGCGGGCCAGCGAGAAAAATGGGTGCGCGTTGCAATTGATGTCTTACTTTTTTTTTTTTCGCGGTGAAAATCGGGTGCGCGTTACAATTGAGGGCGCGGTAGAATCGAATAAATACGGTACTTCACAAAATGTCATACCCACACATGCCTCGAAATACCTGGAAACTATTTTTATGACCTGCAATCGCTAACAGAATAACACTTACTGCTCTCCTAGGTAGTAGAAAATGGACATTCACAACGGCGCTTCACTCACTCACGCTGTCAAAAGTTTTGCAACTTCAAAAGTAGTGTCATGCGACTTTCATAACTTTCATAGTTTCTATAACATGGTGTGCTTAGGCTGAGCATACTTATGACAATCAAATTGCACCTAAACACATGCACACAAAGGTGAAATGGTGCCCAGATGACTGAAGCTGTAACTATGGCCAGCAGAGTTTCCTACAATTTCGTAAAGAGAAAACTGGTGCTGTACATTTTTGTATGCATGAGGAAGTTTTATATGCCAGAATAAGATTCACATCATATTCAAAGAATGAGAACACTTCGAAAACACGTCTGGCAGCATTCTATATCTCACGATAGTTCATCTCTTAATAGAAAAACATGCAAAGAGCTGTTTTTTTTTACATGAAAACAATATTTCTGTATATATGAAAAATTTTACTCGGATATACATTTAGACGAAACAGAAGTTTGGAAAGCATACAGGAAGGTTACTGTTGGCTCTGCGACTTCTTATTATGCACTTATTCTTTTAAAGGCTTGATATCACGAAGTAAAAGTAAACATTAAAAATGGATGCCAGATGGATGAATGAAAATATCAAGGCTTTATTTTAACGCCGCTTCATTTATGCCTCCACGTGCATGTTTCTGGCCAAGCCTCGCTCAAAACCAACAGACATAGGCCTCCAAGACACACAAAGCATGAGCAAAGAGGTATTGAGCTTGGTTCTTCATGATTAAAGAACTGCGCTACAGTTACTGTGAAACACAAAACTAGGGAGGAGACACGAAACGAAGTGAACACTACAAGCGCAAACTATCAAGTGAATTTATTGCAAATAAGCTTGGGGCAAAGAAGACTTCCAGGAAAGGGAAAGATTGGTTTTCGATGAGGGTCAGGGGGGAGGGTATAATCTTGCTGAACTGTTTTCAGGTGCGACACGTGGGATAATTACGATTACGAGATGTGGCCATGACTCAAAGTTCTTTCCCGAGTATGCCAATTCAAATTGCTATATCTGGCTTCTGATGAATTCGATTTCTGTTGAGGTCAGTAGAATGGAGCTTGATCTGATTCATGCGCTTTTTTAGTCCAATATGTGAAATACTTCCCGAATTTGGCGTGTAGTCTTATTCTTTGATTCGGCCAGAATTATCCGACCAGGGAAGAGCCTGTGTCAGATCAAGCTCCATTCTACTAACCCCGACGGAAATTGAATTCATGAGAAGGCAGATATAACAATTTGAGTCAGCATACTCGGAAAATAACTTTGAGGCATCGCCACATCTCGAAATAGTAATCACTCCACATGTAGAACCTGAAAACAGTTCAGCGAAATTGCTGCCGCCCCCCCCCCCCCCCCACCCTCATTGAAAACCGACCTTTACATTTCCTGAAAGTCTTCTTTCGTGCAAGCTTTTTTACAATAAATTCACTTGATAGTTTGTGCTTATAGTGAACCCTTCGTTTCGTGTCTCCTCCCTAACTTCATATTTTGCAGTAACTGTTGCGCAGTTTTTGAAACCCAAACTCTTATTCCCATGATGGCATGGAGCCCATCAAAAAAAAAAAACTGGCCCAGACAGTGGAACCAGATGTCCTTCTCATTCATATTGTAGGAAAGTGAGACTGCTGAAAATCTAAGACTTCTCGTAAGGAAACTTGAGAGGATTACAACTAACTAAAGCATCATTTAGAAGGGGTAAATAGTTTGCACGATCATGCAGCAATAAAAACCAGTGGTACCACAATTTTTATTTATTTCATTGATTCCACTGCTTAAGTGTTTGGTTTAAGGGCTCAAAACGCTAGTAACTACACACAAGAGCCAAACACCACATGTGATAACGGTGGCTTTTATCCAAACTACTATGCTGTAGAGTAAGGAACTAGCATGTTCCCACGATTCCTTTATGTTAACACAAGGGTCAATTTCTCTCCAGTCTTAAAGAAAAAAGCCCGTGGGGCATAGCTTATGACGAGCAGCCGCACAGCAGTGAGCAATAATTGCTCATAAAGCATGTTCACAGCCTCCAAGGGGAAGTGCCAACCACTTCATTAACAAAACAATGTAAGAAAGACTTCGCATCATTTCTTCCACACATGTTACCTTGCTCAATCCAAAATTCCTCCTGAACCATGCTCTCACGTTCAGCAGCCTCAAAACTTTTGCGCTGCTGGGCCTTGATTTCTTGGTATATCTCCTGTGACCTTTGCTCCATCAGTTGTTTCAGGCTTTCCTCTCGATTCTGAACGTGGGAAAAGTGCAAGAGCCCTTAGATGTGCCAGCATTATACAAAAAAGAATCCCGTACATACCATTTCAGAATGCATTAATTAACACCTCATGAAAGCGAAGTAGTACAACTACATTCTAAAAAGGCAGGGCATGCTGTTAAGGGTGGGAAGGAGGATCGCAGGAGGATACGAAAACAAAAACAGGTTTATGACACTATTTACACTTATTTACAGCAAAGAAAGGTCAGTGGTTTCACAAACCACAAGCGTGGTGGTTGAACCGTTACATAATTCAGAGCGACGTCCAGCACTCTGCGGCGTTGTTTTAAGCCTTGTCGGGCTCCTCCTCTCCGAGTGGGACACCAATCACACACACACAACAGGTGAGGGGGACGAGTTTGCACGGCCCTTGTGCACGTCCAATATTGAGTCGTGATTGAGTCGCTAGTCGAGAGGTCCCAAGATCCTGACAGCGCACATCAAAGGGTCTGCTGCACAGCTCGCCTAATTAGCAGGGTGATTTGCGGTGGCCGCCGCGGTCTCTTCCAGGAAGATGCTGTCTTTGTTGTCCTCTCTCGAACGGTTAACGACGTCGTGGCGACACGACGTCTCCCCCTCGGGCTAGCAGGGACAATGCCTGACGAGCATAGGCAGCCCGCCGGTCGGCTACGTGATTGAGGATTAAAAGAGTGTGACCGGCGCCAGAGCTCCCCCGTCAGTTCTGGCGCCGGTCACAACAGCTTCCCCATCGCCAGATGAGTCGCCGAGGGCATCAGTCACCGCTTCTGCTCGAAGAGACGACGAAAGGGTCCATAGCTGTAAGTCAGGAACTCGCCCTCGCTCGCCACATGGTCTGGGTAATTGCTCAAATCTTCGACAGCGTCTGGCAGACTGGGCGCCAGAGAGATTGAGAGCCTCCCCAGTAGACCGGCTTACGCACAATGACGTCTGCCCAGACGAATTTCCAGGCCAAACTTAACAATGCAAACATGATCACAAGAAAAAAAGTCGTGACACTACACCGCAGCATTTCTGAATTATTACTTTGTCACGACTTCTTGTGAAAGTGTTTGCATGCCCCGTTTATTTAGAATGAATACTTACCCATTAGCTCAGTGCTCTGTTATTCTATCTACAGTGGCCCACAGCTGAACGCAGAATCTCAACTTAACCACGCTAGTAAAAACACGTGGAAGCATGCTTGAAGCAGCATGCCGCCACTAAAACTGCCACATGAACAGGCAGAATGGTGAAAAAAGTGCACATTATACTTAGTCACAACCGAAAAAAAAAATGTCAGCTCCTCAAACAGACATCACTGTCCCTCCCACAGAGAATTTGCGTAAAGGCTTTTTCTAACAGCACTTACTCATTCGCACTATGTTGAGCACTATTCCAGTGCATAATATAGCTGACCCTAGTTTCCCCATACAGATTGACATTGTTTATGTCAGAAAAGTTGAAGTCAGAAAAATGAGCGCCTTGGTACATTTTGTTAGGAATTCTGACACCACCGCTCAACCAGAAGCAACACTTTAGCTAATAAGTACAAACTTTTTAAATCCCGAAATGCGTAGTAGTTACATTAGCCGAGGAAAAGCGCTTGCGGGTCGAGCGGGAATCGGCTAGCACACACTGTTTCTTACAAATGATTGGCAGGCGAGCCACAGTGTTGTGGATGGAGCCACCATATTTTTTTCTAGGTTGTAACCGAGTGAAGTATGGTAGGTAATTGCTCGCATTTTCACAAGTATTTCAGAAAAAAAAACTATGCAATCGCATTTCAACATGGCAAGGTCCTACACTTCCCTTTCAGAGGCTTGATGCCACGTTTTAAAATGGCCTGTGCAACAACAGAAAGACTCGGGCACCAAAAGCAGAGACTCACTTTAATCTCTTGCTGCTTCTGAGAAAGCCACATGCTCCGATCCACCGTGGAGACCCGCGATGTAGCAACCACCGAGTCCTGGAGGAGGGCAGCCACTTCTTTCTCCAACGAGAAGCAGCCTTCCAGGGGCTTCTTTTTGCGCCGCAACCGAACCACTTCCTCTATACAGTCTTTCGGTATGTCTGGTGGAGGTGAAGGAGTCGTTGGCACCACCACTATTTCCTTTTGCTGTTGTTGTTGCGGCTGCTGCTGCTGTTGTTGTTGCTGCTGCTGCCAAAGCTGCTCCTGCTGCTGCTGCTCCTGCCTCTGCTGCTGTTGCTTTTGTTGCTGCTCCTCTTGATTTCTGTTACCAACGAGTTGAGATAAGGCAGATGTCAGAAAATTTGTGCTACCTCTTGCTCTAAACTCTGCAGTTGTCTGCATAGTAACAAGAAAAGAATGTATTATAACGAACAGTAAAAGAGGCTATTAAATTTGGAGAATGTTTTCCCGGCGAAAACAACCGGCACAGACATAGCGCAAGAGCTCTGGGACACGAGGTAGTGCGTACTTTCATCACTCCTTGGGCTAGAGTAAAACAAATTTTCACTTCTAGACATGGTGGTGGCCACGTTACAATAGGAGTGAGGTCCACAAACAAATGCCTGTGCCATTTATCGAGCACATGTTGTAGGGCACAAGGTAATCAAAATTAGTTTGGATTCCTTACTATGATGTGCTGCACAACAAAAGTCTAATTTTGGTCAACAATACTACTGCTAAATCAAAGATGATGAAAGCCGTATATGTGAGTCTTTGTGCTACCACCCGAGTTATCTTCTACAGTTAAACCTGCTTATAATGAACCTCTATATAACGAAATTTTTCTATTCCCCGCCGTTGCTCCATAGAGACATGTATTTGCGACCTCTATGTATCAAAACAGCGGGAGACAACCTTGATATAACGAGTTTTCCCCATGGACAATCTAGAAATTTTGCACCGCATTTTGTCATTTTGGTGCGAGCATACATATTCGGCGGTTGCCCCACCACCAACGTAGTGCACAGCAGTGGCGGCGTGCAAGGCGCACCAGGCGAAAATAAGCGCTCGTTACAGCGCGCAGGTGCGCGTGAAGCGTGCAGGCAGGCCTGCATTTCACGAGTCGGCGTTGATTGATTGATATGTGGGGTTTAACGTCCCAAAACCACTATATGATTATGAGAGACGCCGTAGTGGAGGGCTCCGGAAATTTAGACCACCTGGGGTTCTTTAACGTGCACCCAAATCTGAGCACACGGGCCTACAACATTTCCGCCTCCATCGGAAATGCAGCCGCCGCAGCCGGGATGCACAAGTCGGCGTTGCCGCCGTTCTCACCGCCGCAGGTGCATGCGCGAGTGTCACCCCCCCTTCAAACCCCCCCCCCCCTAAAATAATAATAAAACCACTTTTGCACGTTGGTAGTGCACCGCGCAAAAGTTAGCGTAACATATGTGGGGCCGCGCTGAATATGGGGACGCTTTACCGAACATTTTTTTGCGATATTCATGTCTGTGTCCGTGTCGTTCGCTCTGTTTTCGACGCCGTGCGCGCGCATGGTATGGCCACCGACGACGTTCAGCTTTGCTTTTTTTGTCATTGTGACAGCAATTCTATGGACAGTCTCGACTTTCTATATAATGAAAACTCAAGAAAGAAAAAAATTACAGCATATCCACGGGGTGAATGATGAAGAGTGGGGCGGAGCTCATATACCTCGCCACACACCTCAAAAGAAACTCGTGAGTAACCTGTCATTTAAACAATGTTTATTATTTTAAATGTTGTTCCTTATTTTCGTTTTGCGGTTTCCCTTCATTATGACCGCTTTACGGTCAAAGAAATGTACCGAAAGCTATCGTCTCTCTCCTTCCAAACATTTTGGCCGTTTGGGGTATCGTTTTGGCGGACAAACAGACAACCGGACAGACAGACCAAAATTTTTGTGCTGAAGTACCCCAAGAAAGACTATCTTCTTTAAGAAAAAAAAAAAAAAGAGCCACCTGTGCTCAGCGCTCAGCTCGTCACGATGTGCCGACGCACGCTTATATTCCACACGTATTTTGCCCTGCAAACGGGGGGAGATGGGAGGGTTAGATGTTTGTGCGTGCGCGCTTATCCTTCGGCGCCGATGGGGAGACTTCGGCGCCGGTAGGGAGGCGCTGGCGCGCCTTTGAGTTTGACCAGAACGATTGCATTTAGTTGTCGGGTGCACAAAGATCACTTCGCTCACTGGACAGGAGCCGTTTGCAAAAAAAGTTCACTTTTCAAACATAGCGAAGTAACAACTAGGGCACTTGTTAGTTCGCGCTGAGATTATGTTTTTTGGCTCGTTTTTGTTTAAACAGCGCGTTAAGCATCGAGCAGCAAACGTTGTTAGTTCGCTCTCGTCCTGTGTGTGTTGTTTTCGAGCGCCATTTGTGCGTGAGCAGCACGCTGCACACTTCGATCTAGATGCCGTTCTCAGCGTAACATTCCACGTTGTTGCTATCGCATTCATTGCTTCGCCCATGCGGTGATACTGTGACTTTTCTTAATTTTGGACAACCGTGTCGTCACCACCGAGGGGATGTCAGATTAGGCGCTGATAAAAACTCTCTAAGACCACGACGACGACGGGTCTTCGGAGGTCGATTCATCACGCGCTTCTATCTCGCACCGCGCCACGAGTTCGCAGGATGGTAGCTTTCGCGATTAGCCTATTAGTTCCGGCAACATGACGGCGCATTGAATGTAAAGCAATGAACGCGATAGCAAAAAAAATTGCAGTGGCTTAGCTCAGCTATGCCAGGATATACGTAGCTTTAGCAAAGGTTCAGCTGATGGCTATATTACAGTGGCAAACGCCAGTCAGAGGTGCTATCAAGTGGCTCCAGTGCAGTGTCAGATGACAACTGCACAGGGAAGACGAGCGCGTCGGCGTCCATATGTCTACTAAGGCTATGACGGCACTCCTCTGGAAAGCGCACACCGGCGGCGGCGAGTCGCGCGCGGCCGCGGCCGAGTGCGAGGGAGGTGCCGGATCCGGTGCGTGACACCACTGATCGGCTGCGCAGCGCATCGAATTGCACGCACACCGGCAGCGAGCCGCGCACGGCGGCGGCGGAGTATCATTGCGCATGCGCAGACCAGTGCCATGCGAAATTGGCTCAGCGAGGCCAGTAAAACTAAGGCTACAAAATTGTAATGTTATAAGAAGTAAGGCTGGCAGTCAACTATTTTGGATCCAATATCACGGTACTCCTACAAAACGCTGGTGTTAGCAAATACGGCCACTCCAGGGTGAAACAGTCCCTTCGCGTTGAAACCACACTGATACTCGCCGATATAGCAAGCGTGCCAGCGATAGCGACCGCCCTTAAAATCCAAGTTCATTTTTACTACTCGAGCAATAACCCCCTCCCTCCCCACGTTGTTTCATACTTGTTAAAGACGGGTGGTTTACTTTCTGTTTGAGCATTTGACGGCAGTTCCAACACACAGGAGATGTTATCTTATGCACTTTCCATGTGATAGGGGTGGGTCGACTCATTTAGTTTCTGCTGCAACAGCACTCGTGCGCTTTTACTCGCTCGTGAAAGTTAGAATGCGCAGGGTAATGTTATTTATTTATTTTTTATTTATTTAATAATACTGTCAATCATCGCTTGAGGGTCATAACAGGGAGGAAGTAGAATAGTAAGTACAAACAAAAAACCAAAACAACTGGCACTCAAACAGCAATGCACACAAGAAACTGAAATTGGCACTAGTTCAATTCAACCATGACCAAAATAAGGATCGATTTCTCTGTCAAAAGATTGCACATAGGTACTATTAACAACATGATCGGGTAAATGATTCCATTCTTCTATATCATCCGGAAAAAATGACCACCGAAAGATGTCAGTGAGAGCGTTGAAAGGTTTAATGGGGGCATCACGATTCAATCTAGCACTACGTTTTCTGGGAAGGCGTATGTACTCGTCTTTAGGTATTTTTAATATCCATTGCATTATGCGATATAACTTTTTAAGTTTTTGTTTTTGTTTTCAAATTTCCAGTGGTTCTAAATTGCATGAATTGAGCATGTCAGTTACTAAATCCCGCCTTCTGTATCTAGAGCACACAAACCGTACTGCACGCCTCTGAATACGTTCTAACTTGGTAACTAAGTGTTTTTGGTGAGGGCTCCAAACCACGGAGGCGTACTCCAGTCTAGGTCTAATATATGTTTGGTATGCAAGCAGCTTAACAAGTTTCGGTGTTTTATGCAACTTCGCTCGAAGTTGCATCAATTTGGACTTGTTACGGAACATGGTGGCAACGGTGAAAACCGGCCGAGAATGTCCATACGATTGCTATCGCAATAATAATGCAGTTTTTTACTGTAAAATAAGAATTTCGGGTTAGCTCTCCCTTCACTCCCTCTTTTGTTTAACTTGAGCGTTTAAATTCTAGATTTTCATACCAAAACTGTATATAACAAAATACATTTTATAACAAATTTTCTAGTAATTTATGAATTTCGTTATATCCAAGTTTACCTTACCAACCAGATCATCTGTCGCTCTTTTCGAAAAAGGAGTGGGATTATTAAGTCTTAAAATTAAGTTGCACTGGGCATTTTGGCTATGGGCACTTGCATTGGGCAGAAATGGATATAGTGAGGCATACACAGTTTTGTAGCATACCAGCCACAAAGATATCTGTGTTCAGACAGGCAAAACACGTGCCCACTGTGTTTCTTCACTTTAACAACATGCTTCGTAAAATCCATCATGGAGTCTACTAATTTAATTTTTCCGAATTCCCCAGCGTTTCCAGGTTTTCTATGATAATTCTAAGCATACTTCCCTACTCGTAAGCCTGCTTGAAAAACTGTCAATCTGTCATTATGGCATAACAGGGCAAACTATGACAGCGAAACACAGAGGATGCAGCGCTCTGTCCTGTGTTCATTGTCCTATATTTTTCGCTGCTCCATCATTATGTCAATGAACCAACTAGCCCACTTAGAAACCATGTCATTATCATCATCATTGTCATCATCAGCCTGACTACGTCCACTGCAGGAAAAAGGCCTCTCCCATGTTCCGCCAGTTAACCTGGTCCTGTGCTTGATGCTGCCAATTTATACCCGCAAACTTCTCAATCTCATCTGCCCACCTAACCTTCTGTCTCCCCCTAATCCGCTTGCCTTTCCTGGGAACCCAGTTAGTTACCCTTAATGACCAGCGGTTATCCTGTCTACGCACTACATGCCCGGCCCATGTCCATTTCCTCTCTTGATTTCAACTATGATATCCTTTGCCTCCGTTTGTTCTCTAATCCACTCTGCTCTCTTCTTGTCTCTTAAGATTACACCTACCATTTTTCTTTCCATTGCTCGCTGCGTCGTCCTCAATTCAACCAGTATCCTCTTTGTAAGTCTCCAGATTTCTGCTCCTTAGCCAAGTACCGGCAAGATACAGCTGTTATATACCTTCCTCTTGAGGGATAGTGGCAATCTACATGTCATAATTTGAGAGTGCTTGCCAAATGTGCTCCACCCCATTGTTATTCTTCTATTTACATTAATCTCGTGGTTCGGCTTCTCGGTTATTACCTGCCCTAAGTAGACATAGTCTTTTACAACTTAAAGTGCACTATTACCTATCTCAAAGCACTGCTCTTTTTCGAGGTTGTTGTACGTTACTTTCGTTTTCTGCAGATTAACTTTAAGACCCACCTTTCTGCTCTCCTTGTCGAACTCCGTAATCATGAGTTGCAATTCGTCTCCTGAGTTACTCAGCAATGCAATGTCATCAGCGAAGCGCAGGTTACCAAGGTACTCTCCATTGACTGTTATCCCCAACTGTTCCCATTCTAGGCTTCTGAAAACCTCCTGTAAGCACGCGGTTAATAGCATTGGGGAGATTGTGTCCCCCTGCATTACACCCTTCTTGATTCCTATTCTGTTGCTTTCTTTATGAAGCACTATGGTAGCAGTTGATCCCCTGTAGATTTCTTCCAGAATGTTTATATATACTTCATCAACGCCCTGATTCCGCAGTGCCTGCATAACGGCTGATATTTCTACTGAGTCAAACGCCTTCTCGTAATCTATGAAGGCTATGTATAGTGGTTGGTTATATTCTGAGCATTTCTCTATTACCTGATTGATAGTATGAATGTGGTCGATTGTTGAGTAGCCTGCTCGAAATCCTGCTTGTTTCTTTGGTTGAGTGAATTCTAATGTTTTCTTTACTCTGTTAGCAATTACCTTTGTAAATAGCTTGTATACTACACAGAGCAAGCTGATCAGCCTGTAATTCTTAAGTCCCTGTCATCTCCTTTCTTATGTATTGGGATGGTGTTAGAGTTCTTCCAAGACCATGGTACTCTTCCCGTCAGGAGACATCTCGTAAACAGGGTGGCTAGTTTTTCTAACACAATCTGTCCTCTACCTTTCAGCAGATCTGATGTTAACAAATTTTCACCAGTAGCTTTGCCTCTTTGCATGCTCTCCAAAGCTTTTCTGACTTCTTCTATCATTACGGGTGGGGTGTCATTTGGGTTACTGCTAGTTCTTATACTAATAAGATCGTGGTTGTCCCGGCTACTGTACAGATCTCTGTAAAACTCCTCCACTATTTTAACTATCCTATCCATATTGGTTGTTATTTTACCTTCTTTGTCCTTTAGTGCATACATCCGATTTTTGCCTATCCCAAGTTTCCTCTTCACTGCTTTGGTGCTTCCTCCGTTTTTCAGAGCATGTTCAATTCTCTCCATGTTATACCTTCTTACATCGCATAAATTACGCCTATTAATCAACTTTGAAAGCTCTGCCAGTTCTATTTTGTCTGTTGTACTTGAGACGTTCATGATTTGACGCTTCTTAATGAGATTCTTCGTTTCCTGGGAAAGCTTGCCAGTGTCCTGTATAACTACCCTGCCTCCAACTTCCATGTCATACTCCGTAATGATACTCGTCAGATTATTATTCATTGTATCTACGCTAAAGTTGGTTTCCTCACTAAGAGCCGAGTACCTGTTCTCAAGCGACACTCTGAATTCCTGTACTTTCCCTCTCAGCGCTAGCTCATTGATTGGCTTCTTGCGTATCAGTTTCTGTCGTTCCTTCTTCAAGTCTGGGCGAATTTGAGACCGTACCATTCTATGGTCACTGCATCGTACCTTGCCAACCACTTCCACATCCTGCACGATGCCTGGGTGCGCACTCATTATAAAGTCTTTCGTTCTTATTTTCGCCATTATGGATCCTCCATGTCCACTTGCGGTTTCCTCGCTTTCGGTAGAAGGTATTCAAAATCCGTAAATTATTGTGTTCTGCGAATTCTACTAGTAGCTCTCCTCTGGCGTTTCTAGTACAGATGCCATAATCTCCTACTGCCTGGTCTCCAGCCTGCTTCTTCCCTACCTTTGTATTAAAGTCTCCCATTAGTATAGTACACTGTGTTTTTACCTTACTCATTAGAGATTGCACGTCTTCATAGAAGCTTTCAACTGAAGCGTCATCATGGTTGGATGTAGGCACGTAAGCTTGTGCCACCTTCATCTTGTATCTCTTATTCAGTTTAATTACGATACCTACCGCCTTTTCATCAATGCTATAGTATTCCTCTATGTTGCCAGCTATGTTTTTGTGAATCAGGAACCCTACTTAGAGTTCTCTTCTGTCAGCCAAGTCCCGGTACCAAAGGATGTGCCCATTCTGTAGCACTGTATAGGCATCATCTGTCCACCTAACCTCACTGAGCCCCATTATATCCCATTTAACACCCTCTAACTCTGCGAATAGTACAGCTAGACTTCCCTCACTAGATAAGGTTCTAGCGTTAAACGTTGCTAAGAAACCTTGTAACTATCTCTATATTGGGAATGAGCCTCCGACTAGTTCAAAAAAAAAAAGAAAACATACAAGAAACCAGGGCAGCTGCATAAAAAGAGTGGGTAACTTTGGGATGTCTATTATTGCGTCACCACTGAACAAGCTTGACCTGGCCTGGAAACCTTGTCTCATACTGCTTCTGGACAAACCAGAATGCCTTCAAATCAAGCTTAGGTGACGGCCAAGACAAGAAAGCAGAACTTCATGGGCAAAGGCAATGTAATGCTTAGGAATTGAGATGCGTTGTGTGATCGGTAGAATCAACACTGCCCCCTACCCTTTTTTATGCTTCTGCGTGGCTGTTAGCTGTATCTACAGAAAAACGAGTGACTTCATAAGCTGTGATCAAAGGTAAACATTGTTTTTATGACGGTCAAACAGACTGCCATCAGTCAGTGTCCATGACGCACCCAGGTTTATCAAACATTTCCCAACAATTCCCCGACTTTTGCAAGAAGTGTTCAAATTTCCTGAAAATCCCAGGTTTTCGAGGTTTGCATGCACCTTCTTTATTGCTGGCCATCACATTCAGTCCACATCTCCGGATGTTTTCGTGTCTGTAAGCAGGTGAAAGCCACCGTGTCACAATGCTTGGAAACAGTCGTGCAACCAGACTTGGGTGTTTTAAGCCTAACTGCATAATGCGCAAGTTGGAATTCGGGCGATTAAAGTTCTGCTTTCAGTTCTTCACATCATCACAACTACAATCAACAGCTCTCGCAAGCTCACGTTGACATTTTCGTCCCTCGAGTCACTCAATGGCCAATGGATGAGCCTGTGTTGGCCCAGACTGACCGTGGTAACGGTACTTAGGCTATTAAAAGCCCCCTTAGGTCTTCATTTGCTTTTCTTGCTTGTTTTGCTTTCAAGTGCATTATTGAAATGAATACAGCGACATTGTAAACCAGCAAACAGCCTCGTCATGTTGGTGGGATAGTTCTTGTCCCCAGCCTAAATATTTCTTCAATCAAGTCACATTACAGAAACAGTGCTGCATGCGCACACTGCAAGAGAGTCAACTTAGGTTTTTGCATTGGCAGAACACATATCTGTAAACATCCGAGACAACTAAATAAACGCGATGCATACCTCAGCTGAAGGGCTTCCTGGGCTGCTTGAATACGAGCCTTTTCCTTGGTCTCCTTCTCCAGGATCTCCTCAATGGTGGAGTCCTCGGGATGCTCACCCATCACCCAAGTCCATGGCTTGCCATCAGAGCCCAACAGGAAGTCCACACGTTTGCTTCCTGTGAGTGACAGGGATACACTCATGCATGGAGCAATGTACACGGGCATGAAACCTGCCATTCAGACCTCCAGATGACAATGAAAGCAACACAGCGAAGCTGTCTACATTGCAATGTCAAGATCTATGCCAAAAACTCTAATTATTTATATCCAAACTTTACTAATCTTCAATTAATAACATTACCTTTCGTGGTGGTCCAACTACTATGGCAATGTGCTACATATCTCGAGGTTGCAAGTGCTATCCCAGCCCCTGCAGCTACATTTCAATGGCTACAAGAGAAAAAAGGGTTTGTGTTTGTGTTTAGGTGCACATTCAGGAATTACAGATGGTCAAAATCAGCAAGGGGTCGCTCACTACTGCCTGCTTCATTGCAAGTTTGTGGCTCAGTAACTCGAAATTTAAGAATTTAAGTTTTCAATCACCAATATTGGATCACATGTCCCTTTCCTAGCGAAAACTAATCGGTAAGAAAACAATGCACCCCCACTAAATATCCTGTTCATAGGAACACTTTGAAGTAATGCACAATCGAAGTGTGTTGCAGCATGCATAGCCTCAGTAAATGTGCATTCAAGATAGTGTTTCAATTTAATTGCATCCAGATGTTGATAACTGGAAAATTATTAGCAAAAACTTGTCAGATTCTTTGAGAAATTGCCTCACAAATTCTGAAATCTGCTATGATTGTGAATTTTGACCTCTAAAAATTTCGATTTCACCTCAAATCTTGTTTTTAATGTTGAGACTCCGATGTCAATGAAATATGCCACAGTTCAAACTAGTGACACAGTGAACCCATGTACCACAAAAAAACTTGCCTGAAACATTTTGTATAAGTTACATTTCCTAGCTCCAAACCAGGGACATCTCTATCAGAAAGACTACACCCTAATTTCTGTATGACAATCCTGTGCTCTTTCAATTCATTAACTCCTAAGTTATTTCTTAAGGGCTGCAGAAATTACCAAAGTTTTGTCTCACTTTGTCAATATTTTTTGTGAAATGCCTTCCCTCGAATCAAACACTGTACAACCAAATGCATTATGAAACTCAATTTTTTTCACAATACTAAGAAGTCTTCAATAATACTCCTCTTTAGTAACACGAATATAGATGCAGACCTGCACGTATTCCTAACAAAGAAAGTTTCCCAGTTGAAAAAACAATTGTTTGGGTCAAGAACAAATTTTCGTCAATTAGAAAGCTTTCTTTCCCAGAAATCCTTCTACAGATTTTCTTGTTGCTTTGTGGGATGAAAAAGTGCATGGCAATTTTTTCTTTTACATGCATCACAGCACAAGAACATACCACACGCTTACCTACATGAAGTAATCAACAGAACTAAACCTAGGATGAAAATATAATCAGATATAAGGTGAATTTCGGAACCAAATCGAATATGACTCGAATTGCATTGACACCGAATCGAATAGTAATCGAATGCTGTACGAATAGTTTCCCAATAGTAAGTAGACAATCTTGAAAACAATCTTATAACATAACATAACATTTTATTAGAAACAAATGCTCACAAACTTTCACCAAACATCATTACAGTTAGTTTTATAGTTTTAATTGACTCAGACTACCACAATTGACGGCTGCCACAATTGACGGCTGCAATACTCATATTCAATCAATACAACATGGCATGGGAGCGGCCGCGTCAGCAGCACGGGTAAGTGAGCTCTGCACATATCTACCTATAACTTTAGCAATTTTGGTTCTAGGAGGGTCAGAGTGGTGTCTATTTGTTCGTGAAGATACGAGGAGTTCAACAGCTACAAATACTGCTATTACAAACGAAAATTTTAAATTTTTGGAGCGGAAAACAGTGTGAATCTGTGAAAACAACAGTCGGACCACGTGTTTTTTTACGATCGCTTGTAGCTTCGTTAATATTCTACCGGAAAACTTCTTACTTATAAAGTTGAAAGTCCTTAAGGTAGACCTGACGCTACTGAAGTTTGATCAGGCTAGGTTTAATAGTTCCAGAATTATTCCGCAATCAAAATTAGGCCTAATCACTAAAAAGATTAAATTGGTAATATCACCTCGCAAACGCATTTAAATTTTGTCCGCTTAATATAATAATAAACCGCACCCCATAGGCTACCAGGAGGCCCAATTCCGTACACTCTACGCCCTTAATTAAGGTGGTAATCAGCAAAAAGCTCATTTCATCAAAACAAATTTTCAAAAGGAGCTACAAATGCCACCCAAAAATAGCTAATATCTTCTTTTAGAACACAACAGTCAAGTTTTTTCCGTGTAAAAATAATTTCGATAGCTTAAGGTAACCGGAAGATACAGAGTTAGAAAGAATATAATGAGAACCGCTAATAAACGTGTGGCGCCTGCGTCTTCCCTCCCTCAGAGGAGGAGGGTGGCTCACTGCTCGGGAGAAGGTACGCCCGTCAGATCAAAGTCTTGAACAACGTATTTTTTTTTTTTCCCCCTTACGATCGCTTTTAACTTTGCTAATAACCTACCGGGAAACTTCTAACTCATACAGTGCAAAGCCCTAGTTGTAGACCTGTCGCCGCTCAGGTTTCATCAGGACAGGAGTGATAGTACCGGAACTATTTCGTGACCAAAATTAAGCCTAATCACAAAAAAGATTAATTTGGTAACATCACCTCACAATCGAATTTAAATTTGGTCCGCTTAATATATTAATAAACAGCACCCCATAGGCTAATCGGAGGCCCAACTCCGTACTCTCTAGACCCTTAATTAAGGGGGTAATCAGCAGAAATCTCATTTCATTAAAACATTTTACAACCAAAACTTGACTGATAACCACAAACTTGACTGATACACCGCTGAAACCTACATTTAGAACATAACAATCTGGGTGCGGCGATGGCATAGTGGTTAGAGCATCCGCCTCGCATGCAAGAGGTCCGTGGCTCAAATCCCGGTGCCGCGCAGTTCCCAACCGGAAAAAAAAAAAAAACGTGTTGATGGAACTGCATTAAGAGGCCTGAGGTGTGGCCTCACCAGTAACCACCGCCGGGAACGCACTCCCTCACCAGAGAAGGATTGGCCACCCTGGTGCAGTATCTGGCCACTACCTCCCACATGCATACGTCAAATAACTCACGGCCCTCAGTCCCCAGCAGCTGCGGAGCAACTGACCATGGCGGCGGTCAGATCTGCAACGCAGCAGAGGGTGCTAAGAATCTCTGGACTACAGGCCGCCATTGGAACCTGACCTTGGCAACGTTTGAAGCTAGAACCTTATCTAGTGAAGTAAGTCTAGCTGTACTATTTGAGAAGCTAGAAGGTGTTAAATGGGATATAATAGGGCTCAGTGAGGTTAGGAGGACAGATGAGGCCTATACTGTGCTACAGAATGTGCACGTCCTTTGCTATCGAGGCCTGGCAGACAGAACAGACCTAAAAGTGGGGTTCCTAATTCACAGAAACATAGCTGGCAACATAGAGGAATACTATAGCATTAATGAAAGTGTGGTAGGTATTGTAATTAAACTGAATAAAAGATACAAGATGAAGGCAGTACAGGCTTACGCGCCTACATCCAGCCATGATGACGCTTCAGTTGAAAGCTTTTATGAAGACGTGGAATCGGCAATGAGTAAGGTAAAAACACAGTATACTATAGTGATGGGCGACTTTAATGCAAAGGTAGGGAAGAAGCAGGCTGAAGACCAGGCAGTAGGAGATTATGGCATCGGCACCAGAAACGCCAGAGGAGAGCTACTAGTAGAATTCGCAGAACGCAATAATTTGCGGATTTTGAATACCTTCTACCGAAAGCGAGGAAACCGCAAGTGGACATGGAGGATCCATAATGGCGAAAATAAGAACGAAATAGACTTTATAATGACTGCACACCCAGGAATCGTGCAGGATGTGAAAGTGGTTGGCAAGGTACGATGCAGTGACCATAGAATGGTACGGTCTCAAATTCGCCCAGACTTGAAGAAGGAACGACAGAAACTGATACGCAAGAAGCCAATCAATGAGCTAGCGCCGAGAGGGAAAGTACAGGAATTCAGAGTGTCGCTGCAGAACAGGTACTCTGCTCTTAGTGAGGAAACCAACCTTAGCGTAGATACAATGAATAATAATCTGACGAGTATCATTACGGAGTGTGCAGTGGAAGTTGGAGGCAGGGTAGTTAGACAGGACACTGGCAAGCTTTCCCAGGAAACGAAGAACCCAATTAAGAAGCGTCAAATCATGAAAGTGTCAAGTACAACAGACAAAATAGAACTGGCAGAGCTTTCGAAGTTGATTAATAGACGTAAAGTATGCGATGTAAGAAGGTATAACATGGAGAGAATTGAACATGCTCTGAAAACCGGAGGAAGTGTCAAAGCAGTGAAGAGGAAACTTGGGATAGGCATAAGTCGGATGTATGCACTAAGGGACAAAGAAGGCAAAATAACTACCAATATGGGTAGGATAGTTAAAATAGTGGAGGAGTTTTACAGAGATCTATACAGTAGCCAAGACAACCACGACCTTAATACTATAAAAACTAGCAGTAACCCAGATGACACCCCACCAGTAATGATAGAAGAAGTCAGAAAAGCTTTGGAGAGCATGCGAAGAGGCAAAGCTGCTGGTGAGGATCAGGTAACATCAGATCTGCTGAAAGATGGAGGACAGATTGTGTTAGAAAAACTAGCTACCCTGTTTACGAGGTGTCTCCTGACGGGTAGAGTACCAGAGTCTTGGAAGAACGCTAACATCATCTTAATACATAAGAAAGGAGATGACAAGGACTTGAAGAATTACAGGCCGATCAGCTTGCTCTCTGTAGTATACAAGCTATTTACAAAGGTAATTGCTAACAGAGTAAAGAAAACATTAGAATTCAATCAACCAAAGGAACAAGCAGGATTTCGAACAGGCTACTCAACAATTGACCACATTCATACTATCAATCAGGTAATAGAGAAATGCTCAGAGTATAACCAACCACTATACATAGCCTTCATAGATTACGAGAAGGCGTTTGATTCAATAGAAATATCAGCCGTCATGCAGACACTGCGGAATCAGGGCGTAGATTAAGTATATATAAACATTCTGGAAGAAATCTACAGGGGATCAACTGCTACCGTAGTGCTTCATAAACAAAGCAACAGAATACCAATCAAGAAGGGTGTAAGGCAGGGAGACACAATCTCCCCAATGCTATTTACCGCGTGCTTACAGGAGGTTTTCAGAAGCCTAGAATGGAAACAGTTAGGGATAAGAGTTAATGGAGAATACCTTAGTAACCTGCACTTCGCCGATGACATTGCATTGCTGAGTAACTCAGGGGACGAATTGCAACTCATGATTACGGAGTTAGACAAGGAGAGCAGAAAGGTGGGTCTTAAAATTAATCTGCAGAAAACGAAAGTAATGTACAACAACCTCGGAAAGGAGCAGCGCTTCGAGATAGGTAATAGTGCACTTGAAGTTGTAAAAGACTATGTCTACTTAGGGCAGGTAATAACCGCAGAGCCTAACCACGAGATTGAAGTAACTAGAAGAATAAGATTGGGGTGGAGCACAATCGGCAAGCACTCTCAAATTACGATAGGTAGATTGCCACTATCCCTCAAGAGGAAGGTATATAACAGCTGTATCTTGCCAGTACTTAGCTACGGAGCAGAAACCTGGAGACTTACAAAGAAGGTTCAGCTTGAATTGAGGACGACGCAGCGAGCAATGGAAAGAAAAATGGTAGGTGCAACCTTAACAGACAAGAAGAGAGCAGAGTGGATTAGAGGACAAACGGGGGTTAAGGATATCATAGCTGAAATAAAGAAGAGGAAATGGACATGGGCCGGGCATGTAGCGCGTAGACAGGATAACCGCTGGTCATTAAGGGTAACTAACTGGATTCCCAGAGAAGGGAAGCAGGTTAGGGGGAGACAGAAGGTTAGGTGGACAGATGAGATTAAGAAATTTGCGGGTATAAATTGGCAGCACCAAGCACAAGACCGGGTTAACTGGCGGAACATGGGAGAGGCCTTTGTCCTGCAGTGGACGTGGTTAGGCTGATGATGATGATGATGACCACAACTACGAAAACAAAGGTAAGCACGTATACAGCATGAACTAGAGCTTTCGTAATATTTTTTACTGTATGAGCAAATATGCATTCACTAACATTATCAATGTGAGACTGCCACCTGTTTTTACATAAAACTGGGACACATAAGATAAACAATTTTCAACCAAACACCACAGACACAGCTAAGGATGTAATGATGCTGATCAAGCTGTCATCACAACATGGCCTGTGCGCCGAAAGCATTTAAAAATCGGCACTTAAATCTAAATCTGCAAGAACAATTTATGCAATCGCAACACTCACATCTGTTGTTAGTCGCGAAGCTGCAAGCAGTTACTACAAGGTGAAAACAGAAGCTGAATAATGCGATACAGCTTCAGCTTAGCAAAAAGTGAACAATGGAGTTTTCAAGAAAAAACTCATTCATTCAGCAATCAGTATAGTGTTGGCAGTCTTGCAGAAACTTGGGCTGTGTGCGGATCACCTTACGGATTAAGAGAAGAATGACCTTTAGCTGTTCCAAAGTTTAGTTGTATTGAGGTTCTCCCATCAGTGCTGAATATTTGAAAACTGAAAAATATTCTGTATTTCAAATATTTAAACATGTACTATTGTATTAGAGTACCAAACCAAATATAGCCCTATTCGATTCGTTATTCGATATTTTCAAATACAGTTGAACCCCTTCATAAGAAGCAAGCACCAGAGAGCAATTCTTGCTTTTTATACGAGATGCCTGTAATAGGCAGGGTACCACATGTGCATTTTCTTATCAACACCTATTTCAATCTAGGCACATTAGTGTCTCTTATACCAGTTTGACTCTTACATCAGTGTTTCTTATACACTCTGTTTGGGACCAATTGGAGCCCTTTGAAAGCCGCACCAAGCGCCACTTGTGGTGTAGTAGGCTAGCAATGTTGAGAGTCTTAGCTTACAGCAGCGCCTCAGTGCTTCAGTGGCACAAGCCCCCGTGGCCGACACATTAGTGCTTTGAGCAGGAATTAAAAATATTGTAGGAAGACATTCTTCTGCAATGCTACCATGAATAAATAAAAAAACCTGCACAAAAGTGGCCACATTTTCCCCATTAGTGAGCTCTTGCTGCCCTTGATCAGCACTCACAGCTAAATGCGTGCATCAGGTGTTTATGATTTGATATGTGGGATTTAACGTCCCAAAACCACCATATGATTATGAGAGACGCCGCAGTGGAGGGCTCCGGAAATTTGGACCACCTGGGGTTCTTTAACATGCACCCAAATCTGAGCAAACGGGTCTACAACGTTTCCGCCTCCATCAGAAATGCAGCCGCCGCAGCCAGGACTCGATCCCGCAACCTGCGGATCAGCAGCCGAGTACCTTAGCCACGAGACCACAGCGATGGGGTGGCATCAGGTGTACGAAATGCAAGATGCTTACTTCATAACTGTCGTGGTACATTGCCATTCTCGCAGATTTACAATATTATTGGTGTATGCACACTACCTGCGTACTTGCAAAATACTCAGAGCATTTCGAAAAATTGATGGCTCCGCGGCCACTCGCGGTGCAAATCATGGTGAGTGGCCGAACGGCGTGCTCGTTTGTTGCGGCTTCATGTCATGGCGATTTTCAGCCACTGAGTTTTACAAAGTGCTTTGCTTGAAATTGTCACGGCATCATCACTGCTCATCATGATCATGGTCCTTCCCTCGCCTCTCACGGCATTCATGCTAAGAGCTTGAGGCGCGAGTGAGAACATTAGTACACTGCAATTTCGACCAGAGAAGACGCTACAGCCCCGTTTCATCTTTCGCTTCACCTTGTAATGTGGCGATGATGACGGCACGATCACTTTGGCTGCAATGTTTGCTTTCCCATATCCCAACACAAACACGTGTACATCCGTCTCTAGACCACTCAAAAGCCTCGTTTTTTATTCTGAAATTCCACATCATTTCTTCCTAACATGCAGACTGTTTACCAATCAAGAGAAAGACTTCTGGATGAACCACAAGCTCCGAAGGATGGGATTCAATTTATCACTTCCAGTGGTTGTTTCCTTTGGGGTAGCCCCGCCGCGATGGTCTAGTGGCTAAGGTACTCGGCTGCTGACCCGCAGGTGGCAACTTTTGATGGAGGCGAAAGTGCTATAGGCCAGTGTGCTCAAACTTGGGTGGAAGTTGAAGAACCCCAGGTAGTCGAAAATTTCTGGAGCCCTCTACTATGACGTCTCTCATACTCATATGGTGGTTTTGGGACGTTACACCTCACATATCAATCCATTCTTTGGGGCTACAACACTAGGTTTCAGCCGTGGGAGTGTTTGTGACGCCGTGTGCGATTTACTATGCGAGAATAAACGAATTGAATGCTAACATTATTTAATTGAAGCTTATTCTTCAACAACATTAGTTTGTTGTGAGTTAAGCTAATTTGTTATATCAAAGACAATCTATTGCTAAACATATCTATTGCTAAATAACAACAATATAATCCCCGTAACAATATAACAAGCACCACCCATTTCATGGTCGACTCCTCCCGATGGGTTGCACCAATTTAATAAATAACAATTTAGTAATTTTTAACCAACCAACATCTTAACTTGATTTCTACCCAGTGCACATAGTGCTGCTGCTGGGTGGCTTTGTGTTTATGGTAATATGCTATGTCACTCAATTCATCCCTTAACTGATGGCCCTATCAACCCAACAAAGCACTAATTGACTATGTACTGCATTACCCTAAAGTGTGAAGGATAGATGGCGAGCTAATAATTATTAAGGTTCATTCTAGTGTTCCACCAGCATTGCACCTAATTAAAATGCCCAGCATATGTTTATTTTCTCACCAGCTTTATGGCAGCAGGAAAATCACACAACACTATTGCACCTGCAGAGGTGGTGTCTCAGACCAATTCAAGCATGCAGTGGCAGAATTCTAGATGACAGAGGGAGCAGGAACTGAACACATTTTACATGATACAGCCGTGATCCACTTATTTCATTGCCCAGTAGAGCAGGGACGAGTTAGGAAAATGTTGTTTCCGCAGGACACAATGTGTTCCTGTTAGTACAATTAACTTCACAGCAATTCATTATTCCTATAAACTACGTGCTAGCAAGCATTGAGAAAGCATTTGGTTCTGCTCAGGCCCTCAAAAACTGTCTGCTCTGATGGCCACACGGCAGCGCACCAGTCGCAGTGCACGAAATGTATAAAGGGGTCATCTAGCTGTATTTGCACACCCTAAAATATAAGTAAGAACACGTGGCTCACCAGGCTTGTTGCTGTTGCTATTGGTGCCATTCTTTTTGTTGTTCAGGGCAAGCTCCTTTTCACGCTGTTCCCAACGTCGTACTTGCTCCTCTCGCATCTTGCAGAAAAGGATGTGCTTCTGCTCATCATCCAGCTCAGCAAGTAGCTGGGGGTCAATGTACATGTCCCGCAGGATTTGCTGGAGCATTTTGACACCTGCACATGGGATAAATGATTGCATTAGATGCCAAGAGTATTCTGACAACAACAAAAAACTGGCATGATTTATCAAAAAGTAAAGATGCCATAGAAGAATTATAAAAAAATGAGTACCACTGTGTAAGAATGATACAATTAAATTAATTTTGCTATGACTATTATTTTAATTAGCATGCCACCCTTTTGCCATTGCACTGCCACTGTCAAGGCAATTGTCACCAACAATCTCTGGGGTTTTATGGGCCAAACCCTTTATATTACTTGTGAAAGAAGCCATAGTGAACGGCTCCAGAAATTTTGACCGTCTGGTGTTCTTTAACTTGCACAGGCATCCCATAGCACACGGACCCCTAGCATTTCGCCTACAGTTTAAATGCGACTACTGCAGCTGGAATTAAACACCGACCGTGCGGGTCAGCGGCCGAGCACTATACACCACTGCAATCATCACGTCTGAATTGCTAGTACACTGCATCAGCCCATGGGTCATAAGAAAGATCATTCAAGATATTTTGTTACATGGAAGCTAAAACTGGTCATGGGACACTAGAATACAACAAAAGTTCATGAAATGTGAGGGGTCACCAAGGTGTACTTGCCTCCTTGACTGTGGACCCCTTTCCCACAGCCTCAATGTGTGCATAATAGACATACATTAAACAAAAAAACCAGTTAATTAGTTATTTTTGTCAAAAGTACTTTGCAATACTTTTTAAGTATGGTCAGAAAACGCCGCTGATAGGTAGTCGAGGCTGCCGAGAACACGTGAGCCAAATGTTACAGTGCAGCACGCGGCAAGGAAATTACAATAAAATCTCAGTCAGCTGAAAATCACTTTCTCGTCTCTCAACACAAAACTCAATGCATCATAGACACAAGTATCACGCCATTGGCTTATTTGAGCATGGCACCCTCAGGAGTGACTGTGGCCACCATGGGAGGCCACCTTGCATCTGTGCGCAAGCGCGCAATCCCACGGAAAAGCCGCGTGTTAGAACTATAAGAAAAAGTGTTCAAGTTTACAAGGCGCGCGCGACATATCGTCTTCCCCGTGCCATCCCTCCCTGTTTAGCTTCCAACACTTTCGCCGCGACAAGAGGAGAGTAATTGCACCCGTGTACTGGACGGATTCTGCACATTTGTTGTGGTGGCCGATTCACGAGCTCCTTTCATGAAGCAATTTCGTGGCTACTTTGAAAAATGCTGCAGAGCCCCTTTACTTCAATTTCAACAGAAAGTTGCATTAAGCCATAATCACGTGTCCACTCTACATGCATCATGTGATCCTAGTGCAGACATCATGTCGACGGCAGCATGAGCATCTTTTTTGTGGAACACAAAACGAATACAACTGACTGGAGTAATGCGGCTTTGAGGACACTTTGAAAGAAGCACATCGAATTTTCCTGACAAATTGGCACTTCATAAAGACTTGTATGTTCGATTTCCTGACAATATTATGGTCTTTTAGCAAGTTCGGAAAATACGGTAAGGCAGTACAGTAGAGCTCTTCCTTTCCAGTGACAGTGCGTCTCCCAGCGAAAGGTCCCTATGAATAGGCTGACAGGCCACAACGAAGCATGACAATCCTAAAGTAATTTTGAAAGAGCTTTTGTGTTTTGGGGTTGCCTTCACTGATAGTAGGTCACCGACCGGGAAAAGAGCAGCGGTACATGCCGTACTTGGGAACCGCATTTTCCCAACAATAACATGCTAGAGAGATACACGAGACAATCCTGACTGGATATCGGTTATTCACTGCATTTCCAAAACAACACTGGTGAACATCCCTTGCAGGTCGATTTGGCCTCACTTTCCTGAGCCCAGGGTTTTGCCTTGCAAGTCTCAAAGACGTCTCGTAGGACACACTGTGTAGATGACAGGGAAATTCAGGGATGTCTTTCCTTCAGTGTGTTTTCTAAAAGCAGTCTTTTCTAGTCCCCTTTTTTTTTTTTACTCTCTGAAGTTGAAATTTCGGAAGTTCAAATCATGAATAAGTTTTCATGTGCTTTCAGGTGCTACTTTAATTATTTCTTCTGGACACACACTAAAACTACTGAAATTAGACTAAGGCACACACAATTTTTAACCAAAGCACATTTTTGAAAAGAATTAATCATATTAGCACCTGAAAGTATAGAAAAACTCTTATGCATGATTTCAACTTCTGAAAGTGCAAAACTTTCACTAAATAAAATTTGACAGATGGCGACCTATAATGCACAATATGTCCGCTTGTGCTAGAAAAACACTGAGCCAAGTTTATTACATACAAATTTTTTATTTAAGAACAAAGCACAAAACACATACATTACGCACTGTGACTAAATGTTGCCTTACATACATAAGCATATTTGGGTTTACATATAAACCGGAATAGAATTTTGAAGAAATATGAATAGACAAGTACGGCAGATACTACAAATGAGAGAAAAAAAAAGCTGTGATATAACAAAACAGTACATGACATAGCCATTAGAAACATGAGAATCAGGGGATTATCTTATTCAATAGGGTCGTTCGTGCCCATTCATGTCTTTAATTGATGCCCTGACGTCTTCATGTTGCCTTGGAGGTGACCTGCTGAATTAAGAGGTTTCCTTTAAGCAATTGCAACGAAAGCAAACACCTCTATAAAATGCTATTTTCTCACTACATACATCCCATTCACTGGAAAACTGTCAGAAAAAACAAAAATTATTAAAAGGAACTGAGAAAAACAAAATCCAAGCTTGCTGTCAATCGTACACATTGAGAAAGTGAAGTTTTCTACACAACAACGTCTTGCCACATGGTCCACTGGCCCAAATAGCCAAGGTGTTCTGGCACTGAGCATGAGAAGGCGGGATTAAGTCAGAGCTGATGAAGCCACACTTTGATGGAGGCATAACAACAACTACAATATTATTATTATACACCATGATATGATTGTGAGGTTGTCATAGTGGAGGGCTCTGGCAATTTTTACCATTTAGTGGTGTTTAAGATATTTTTACCATTTCGTAGTGATAAGATATATTGCACCCAAGATATTAAGGTTAGCAGCCAAGTGCTGTAACCACTACACCATTGCAGCAAACACACATAGCATCATTGTGCATACGTGTTTTCGTTATAAAGCATATCATAATACCCCAGGTGGTAAAAGTTAATACAAAGTCCATCACTATGGTGCATAACTCATTATAGTTTCTGAAAGTGAAGCTCCAGAATCATCATCATCATCAGCACCAGCAGCAGCAGCAGCCTGACTACGTCCACTACTGGAGAAAGGCCTCTCCCATGTTTCATCAGTTAACCCGGTCCTGTGCTTGCTGCTGCCAATTTATACCCGCAAACTTCTTAATCTCATCTGCCCACATAACCTTCTGTCTCCCCCTAACCCGCTTGCCTTCTCTGGGAATCCAGTTAGTTACCCTTAATGACCAGCGGTTATCCTGTCTATACGCTACATGCCCAGCCCATGTCCATTTCCTCTTCTTGATTTCAACTATGATATCCTTAACCCCGTTTGTTCCCTAATCCACTCTACTCTCTTCTTGTCTCTTAAGGTTACACCTACCATTTTTCTTTCCATTGCTCGCTGCGTCGTCCTCAATTTAAGCTGAACCCTCTTTGTAAGTCTCCAGGTTTCTGCTCCGTAGCTAAGTACTGGCAAGATACAGCTGTTATATACCTTTCTCTTGAGGAATAGTGGCAATCTACCTGTCATTATTTGAGACTGCTTGCCGAATGTGCTCCACCCCATTCTTATTCTTCTAGTTACTTCAATCTTGTGGTTCGGCTCCACGATTATTACCTGCCCTAAGTAGACAGTCTTTTACAACTTGAAGCGCACTATTACCTATCTCGAAGCGCTGCTCTTTTCCGAGGTTGTTGTACATTACTTTCGTTTTCTGCAGATTATTTTAAGACCCACCTTTCAGCTCTCTTTGTCTAACTCCGTAATCATGAGTTGTGATTCATCCCCTGAGTTACTCAGCAATGCAATGTCATTGGCGAAGTGCAGGTTAGTAAGGTACTCTCCATTAACTCTTATCCCTAACTGTTCCCATTCTAGGCTTCTGAAAACCTCCTGTAAGCACGCGGTAAATAGCATTGGGGAGATTGTGTCTCCCTGCCTTACACTCTTCTTGCTTGGTATTCTGTTGCTTTGTTTATGAAGCACTATGGTAGCAGTTGATCCCCTGTAGATTTCTTCCAGAATGTTTATATATACTTCATCTACGCCCTGATTCCGCAGTGTCTGCATGACGGCTGATATTTCTACTGAATCAAACGCCTTCTCGTAATCTATGAAGGCTATGTATAGTGGTTGGTTATACTCTGAGCATTTCTCTATTACCTGATTGATAGTATGAATGTGGTCAATTGTTGAGTAGCCTGTTCGAAATCCTGCTTGTTCCTTTGGTTGATTGAATTCTAATGTTTTCTTTACTCTGTTAGCAATTACCTTTGTAAATAGCTTGTATACTACAGAGAGCAAGCTGATCGGCCTGTAATTCTTCAAGTCCTTGTCATCTCCTTTCTTATGTATTAAGATGATGTTAGCGTTCTTCCAAGACTCTGGTACTCTACCCGTCAGGAGACACCTCGTAAACAGGGTAGCTAGTTTTTCTAACACAATCTCTCCTCCATCTTTCAGCAGATCTGATGTTACCTGATCCTCACCAGCAGCTTTGCCTCTTTGCATGCTCTCCAAAGCTTTTCTGACTTCTTCTATCATTACTGGTGGGGTGTCATCTGGGTTACTGCTAGTTCTTATAGTATTGAGGTCTTGGTTGTCTCGGCTACTGTACAGATCTCTGTAAAACTCCTCCACTATTTTAACTATCCTATCCATATTGGTAGTTATTTTGCCTTCTTTGTCCCTTAGTGCATACATCCGAGTTTTGCCTATCATCGATTTTTGCCTATCCCAAGTTTCCTCTTCACTGCTTTAGCGCTTCCTCCGTTTTTCAGAGCATGTTCAATTCTCTCCATGTTATACCTTCTTA